GTATGTATCAATAAAACCGATGATATTTCTTTTCTCGCGCTGGCAACAGTTTTCATTTTTAATTGATTGGATTCGGCGCGCAAGAGCACGTAGTGAGCAACCAGATAACAATAACCAGAGTGAGCATTATCAGGTTGTTCAATTCAGATTCATGCACTAAAAACATGACAATATTTAATTTATACTCAATTAGGAATTAATTAATTAATTGAAGTGAAATGCTTTAAAAGGCCGCTGTTGAATTGATATTTTTCTACTGGGAGCTACCTTAACGTCTAAACGTTAACGTCTAACGTTTTTCTGCTGTACAGAAATGTGATACTTCCGTTGAAGAAAACGTTTCTAGCATAACAAAATCTGATGAATGTGAGAGTGGCCCTCAAAGTGTTACTTCCCACCCATATGACATTGGACTGTTTTCAGAAGATATTACATGCGAGAAGATATTACATTATGTTCTTAAACTTAAAAAATCAAATCGAAATTTAACTAAACAATGTTGTCTAAATAAAAAGTCAAAACTGTCTAAATTAGGGAAATAATAGTGCTTTATTACATACTCGAATTTCTTTTAGTAAATTAAGTTACAGAAAATTATGAAAACCCCCCATTGAAAAAATTCTGCGTACGCCACTGGTCACGATGCTCTCGATTTCAAATTCATTTTAGTAAGTGAAAATCATATCGCAGATTCAAGATTTGATGAGTGCTGCCGTTCATTACCATAAGTAATAAAAACATCTCTCTGTAAGAAATTTAATATTAAACAAAACAAAGAACACTTTATTTTAAGTTTAAAGAGTGCAGTTAAATTTAAACACTGTAAGGTGTCTGACCAAATTATGAGACGCACTTTTAAGATTCTATGTAAAAACTTCATTATCAGCTGATACTCTATACAGCTTTATTGTTTTTACCACTTGTTTACGTTCTTGTATCAATGGGTTAAATGAGACGATACATAATATGAATTTGACGATTGGATAAAGTAGACAATATATTATATAAATATAGAATATTTATTATATCAGGTATTATATTAGTATATTATAATAACTTGACCGAATGATTAGACAGACTGTAGTTTTTCAATAATTGCATGTTTTGCACGAGTTTGTATATAATACTTTTGTATTTAAACATACATGTCATGGGTTTTTATTCGGGAGATATTTCTATAGACTTCCTATTTTTGCACTTACTTTTAACGTATTGCATTACAATGTTAACCCATTGATACAGCAACGTAAACAAGTGCAAACAGTCGCGTAAAAACAACAAAGCTGTATAGAGTATCAACTGATAATTAATATTTTGCATAGAATCTTAGAGTGTCGTGTCTCATAATTTTGCCAGAGACTGTACTAAGAGACTGTACTTTGCCAGAGACTGTATTAGGGTGAAATGTAACGTATCGAGAGAAAAAAAATAGTGCGTGGAGTCCCTTCGCGCGGAAGAAGTTAAACTTCGTAACCTGCGACGTTAATTGTAGAAGAATCAGCAGTCGTAGAAGGATCACTAGTTCTATTCAACGACTCTTTTTCCTGCTCCGCTCGCTTCCGTGCTCTGTAATCACGGTAATATTGTGCATTTTTCCCTCGTGGACCTCTTGAACCAGTGGAAGTGCTTGTGGTAGCCTCATCGTCTCGCCCTGGAAAATGTATTTGTATTAATAATGTATGTGAATGCGTCATAATGTAATTTCAGAAGAGAACCTAATTCACAGGAGACGTACCTTGACATAACCTTAAATCCGTCGCATTGTCCGTGGGATTGTTTTCACAAATTTTTTACAATTGTTATCCACTACATTTGAAAATAAGAAATACTACCCCCTTAAATTAGTATCAAAACAAACTAAAAAAATATTTATAGAAAAACAATACTTTTATGACTTTCATTATTTTTATGCTAGTGAGAACCAAAACAATATGGAAATGAATGAGGGAAAACTGGATCCTACCGCGTGATCTCCCGGCCAATAAAAATGTAACGTTAAACGTTAAACGCAATCTTGTTGGAAGTCGTATAAGAAGTATAACAATGCATAATAAAAATACATAAGAAACAATGCCTTTTAGTGTAACGTTTAAGTTAACCCCTTTTTGTCTCCCCCTCCCCCCTCAATAAATTCATGACTTAAGCTCACTCGAGTATCCTTAATCATTGAGACCAAACCTCAACTTTAAAAATAACTTCCAGCTTTTCCCTCATTATTTCTGTAGTGAAAGCATTTTTTAAGTTTTTGACACTGGAATTCTGTACTGTACGTTTTAAGTTATTTCTTTGTATTAGATGTGCACGGCAGAATGCTCTCAAAGTCTGCAACTGAAACAGTGCAACTACGTCACAGTGGAATTGAGTTTATTTTTCGATGCATTGCCATGGAAACAAGAATCATTTGATCCAGGTATCCCATCTTTTCTTAGAATTAGAACATTTTTATTTTAAGCAGAATAATTTGCGAAATAAATCAATTTAAAAATCGTAAAGCGCTTTGTAATATACGTCTTGAAGCTTTTAATTCTTTGATTCTGACGCAGAGTTTCTACTTTTCATTCATCAAATCTCCATTTTATACGCAAACAGAAATTTGTTTTTAATGATCCGTTGAGTGACTTTTTTTAAACTAAATTATTCTTTCCCCGGCTAAATTATTAGACGCACTATAAAATTCTATGCAAAATCTTAATTTATCACGTGATACTATACATGTTTATTGTTTTTACACGAACTGAAACCGGTTTACACTAATTTGCGTTAGCGTAAGAATGGGTTAAAATTGTAATGATTGGATAAATTAAATAATAAATTCGACGATGGGATAAATTAGACGATATATTACATAAATATAGAATATTAATTATATCAGGTATTATATATTAGTATATTATAATAATTGAACTAAATTAGTAGAGGCACTGAGTGTATTAATAATTGCATGTTTTTTTACGAATTTATATGCGATACTTTTACTTTTAAACAAACGTGGAATGGGTTTTAATTCAAGGGATTTTTCATATACTTCCTAATTGTATTTATTTGTAACATATAGCATTACAATGTTAACCCATTAATACAGGAACATAAACAAGTGCAAACCTCGTAAAAACAATAATGCTGTACAGTTAATTAAGATTTTACATAATTTGGTCAGGGACTGTCTATCAGTTTCTTGTTATCGGCTCTGATTCCGGTACAAGAAATAGAATATACACTCTATAACAAATGAATCGAAGCACCAAGAAGGAGTTGTCCGATTGAAACGAAAATTGGTGGATAGGAAGACAATGTGAAGAATAAAAAATGATTAAAATTTCAGAACAATTGAATAATTTATTGCAGAGTTACAGTAACAAGTTCAATAAGGTGTTGACCCGCCTCTAGCCTGGATACAAGCTGCCACACGGCGTGGCATAGACCGATAAAGCTCCCGGCTGGTCTCTTGCAGTATTTCCTGCCAAATTCGATTCAATTGTCGAACGAGGTCATCAACATTCCGTGCCAGATGCAATCGCCTTCCCATCATATCCCAGACATGCTCGATGGGAGAGAGATCTGGTGATCTGGCAGGCCAAGGAATAGTTTGACAAGCTTGCAGACAGTTCATAGCAACACGCGCCGTATGTTGTCTGGCATTGTCCTGCTGAAAAACCAGCCCAGGGCGCTGCAAAAGGAACGGTAGCAAAACAGATCTTAGGATTTCGTCGAAGTACCGCTGTGCAGTAAGTGTACCTCTAATGACGACCAAAGGGATCCGGCTGTCAAAGGAAATGGCACCCCAGACCATAATGCCTTGTTGAAGGCCGGTGTGACGTGCAATAGTGAAGGCAGGATCCCCCCCTCTGCGTCTCCAAACACGTCTTCGATAATCGTCAGGACACAGCTGGAAGCGGGACTCGTCGCTAAAGACTATACGTCCCCAGTCGGCATCATTCCAGCCTTATCTGTTCAAAACATTCATGCATACGAAATTTCAAAGCAATCGGATGATTGCTTCCTGGTGCTTCGATTTTTTCGTTATAGAGTGTATATATCCAAAAATTGAACACGCAATAAAAGTATAATTTTCCCCCCCTACATTTTTCTGATCTAATTTAAACAGCGATATCTGCAATTGAATTTTTAATTAATACTACTTATAGTAATATTTTCAAAATACATACTATTTCAATTACAGGACAGACATTTTAAAATGTGTAATATAAATACTCTTACATAAATAAATAAAAAACGAAAGTAAGCTGTGAAATTTGATGATAACTTAAGTTTATTTGAAACTAAAGCCATCATCGTTTATGATTCGATGCGTATTTCACAACATACATTTATCAAAACGAGCCCTCTTTTCCTTTTAGTGATTTTTTAGAGTTGCTTTTGTAGCCAAAACTAGAGAAATAAATTTAAAAAAAAAAGGCCGTATATCTGAAATGATTCTCTAAGTATTTTTTTGAGAAAGTTATTAAAGAAGTCCTTCATTCAAAAAGGATCCAAAATGTCATCCAAGAAAATAATGGTTTTAAATTATCTATTTCAATAGCAATGGAACAGTACATATTTATGTAAGATTCAGGAAAAAGATTTCGTAATTTATTCATTGGGCATAATTTTTAAAAGAATCAATTTAGTTCCTAAATCCAGAAAAACTACTGGATCAAGCATGAAGCTATTTGCCTGACTTGGAGAAAAACAAAAGGAGATTTTAACCCTTCGACCGAATAGGCTAATTATTTAGTGCTAAATATTAATTAAGTTACGAAATCGAACACGACGTATTTTCTTCGAATAAATATATTTATTTACATATTTGGATTCTTAACCTTCAAAATACGGGGAGTAGCAGCAATCTAGGAAATAGGGCCCCAAAGTTTGGTCGCGACCAAAGTTCGGACCCCTTCATGTTAATTTCACCTTTTTGCATTTTTGGTTATATTTTTAAAACTAATTAATTAATTCAAAAACAATTGCACCCACTCATAAAACCCGTTTTCCCAAAGACAAATTCCATGCAAAAGATAATTCTTAATAATTATTTATTATTATTTTAATTAGGGATGAAAAAAATTTGAATGATGAGGTATAAATTTTTTTATACCATACTAATCTGCATATTTTCTAAAGAAATATGTAATGTTTCCAATTATTTTTATTGAGTAGCAGCCAAGAAAAATTAATATTAATTATCTTTTAAAAAAATAATTTGGTGATAATAAAGAAATATTTAAATGGGTCGATTAATATTAAAATGTGGGTTAACTTGACTCTCGTGCACGAAGGGTAAAATTTCATTCATGTTTTTTTTCGCCAATAACAGATTACTAATGCCTTTTATTAAAATTATAAAATATGATGTTTCTTTTTGAGTCTTCTAAAACTTTATACATCATCTTAACCTTACAACAAAATGTTTTAAAAAACAGAGAAATCGAATTTTAAATACACGACTTTTTTAAAAATTCGATTTCTCAGGAACTATTCGACCGATTTCGCTCACATTTTGTATTTTGCCGTGTAAAATGACATACTTTAAAATGAGGTAAAATAGTGTATACCTTTCAATTTAAAATTTTTCGACTATTATTAAATAATGTAATGAATATTTACTAAAAATTAATCTTTGCATGGAATTATTTTCAAACAATAGAATTTTAAAATTGTGTGAAAAACTATTTCAAAAAATCTCGAGCTATGGCGAAATATGCAATAAGTAAAATAAACATTATGAGGTCGAATCTTTGCGATCGCTCTCCTGACCAAACTAAGGGAACCCTATTTCGCGGATTGCGGCTGCCCCCTATATTCTCGGGGTCAGAAATCCGATTCCGTCGAAAAAAGGGCATGTTTATTCAGATAAAGTACGTTTTAGTGTCTGATTTCATAACTTAAAATATCATCTGCATTAATTAATTAACATATTTAAGGTCACTCCCTCGAATCATTAAGAATGAATCCTAGAACGTAAAGACCCGATTGCGTATATTGTATAAACAAATGTTTTTATTGCAGGTCTATCATATATCTGATAATCGAAATTCTCTCTCTCTCTTACTGTACTTTGATTATTTGTAATCAATATTACTCGCAATCACGTTTCTTGATGTGATTGCAATTAATCATGATGTAATCGAATATCAATATTACTTGTAATCGTAATTACCTCTGATTGCGATAACAATAGTAATTGATTACACAGTAGTAATTATCTGCATTAATTATTATGAGCAATCGACTCCTGACTCTGGTTTTAAAAATTAAATCAAATGCTTTGTCCATTTTCTTAATACTCATTTTAGACTACGCCCATTTTTCTTAATATCTATGTCGATTTCCATAAACGAGCATCTCGAGCTTTGTCCATTTTTGTAAACATGCGTTTCGAGCTAAGTCCATTTTCGTAAACGCTCGTTTTGACCTGTGTCCATTTTCGTAAACGTGCATTTTGAGTTGTTTTCAAACTTAAAAGTTTTTTCAACCCCAGCACGTTTTTATATTTAAATTCGAACCAGAAACTTAACGTAGCTTTCGTTGAACCATTATGATTTCAATCGTAGAAATTAGATATCTACGTTTTCTTTTCAGAAAAAATCGAATGTGCGGAGCGTGTCTCGAATGAAACGATGGAATTTTGCAGATCCTTATGTCGAGTTCCATGCAAGTATGTTTGAATTCTTCGTTTTAATAAAGAACTAGCCCATTCTTCGCATTGAGTGAATAAACGTAATCAATATATATATATCTAATAACGTAATGTCTGTCTGTGGATGTATGTCCTTCGTAAACTCCAAAACCATCCAAACGAGAGAGATGAAATTTGGCATTGTTCAAAGGTCGAGGAGTCGACATTAGAACATTCTACGACGAACCATTCATGAGCGAAAAAGGAATTTTCAGATAGGTTAAACTTTAGCCATTGTTTTAAAATTTTGCTATAAATGATTCAGTTTTCAAATATTTTGAAGATAACACCCCTAGTAAAAATTTTACATTGGCCCCAGTTGGTCGAAAAATTATCTAATACAGGTCCCATAAGAACATGCACAGAGGGACCTATATTGGGATGTCCAGATTTTTCAATATGGGGTCCTAGAATGATGGATCTCAATATTGGAACAAGATTCATTTCTATATATCTAGGACCGAGACCGGGATAGCCTTGTCTGTAGGGCGCTGGGGTCATATCCAAGAGGTCGTGGGTTCGATCCTCGCCGGCCGAAGACTCCCAGTGTAGTAAATGGTGACTGATGCACGTTAAATCTGTCGAGTCTCAAAGTCCTCCATGTTCCCACAACAAATCAATACCTCTGGGGGTACTGATCCAGGAGTTTCCTTGTCTTCTGGATTGGTTCAAAATTACAAGGCTACGGAGTTGAACGTAAGTAGTCGTAAACCCATGAAATTGGGTCGGCTGTTCAACGGCGGTTATAAAATAAAATATATATCTAGGACCAATATTGAAAACATCCCAACATTAAAAGTTCCGACATATAATAATATTGGTTCATTATTGAAAGCCATTCTAGGACCAACATTACAAAATATAGACACGCCTAAAACTTAAGAAAAATATCACACACAAGATGAATAAAGTTTGCCATGTTTTGAGTATTATCTCTTATTTAGTAAGTGTGCAATTTATCGCAAGTTAGTAATTTTTTGGGTTGCATTATAGCATGTTTGCGGTGTCTTTTGAATTCATTTGTTAAGATTTAAATTGATAGAGCGCACTACATTTAAACACTACAAGTATCATAATATTTGTTGGGTGTCGTGATTTTTCAAGCTTAGGTCGGAAGTTTTACGACGAATTTCAACCCCTAGCACCCTCCTTGCTTAACTTTTCATGGTCAACCATAACCATATATTCTGTCGATCGCTTTGCGGTAAAAAAAAACATTTCTTAACAAAAATTATTTGAATAAAATATTGAACCACTTCATTGAGGCTGTAATAATAATTTTTTTCTCATTTGTTTTAAAGGCAGTCAAACTATGAGGTCACAATGGACTCTTCCACCTGGCCACGGAGAGCTAAAGTAAATAAAATTCCTTTTTTTTAAATACATATATTCAATTCTCCATTTTTCCAAAAATATAGTACAGTCAATGCTCGATATAACAGCCCTTGTTGTCTAGACAAAAATAATATGAGATTGTTGTATAAGGAATACAGAAAAATATTGCAAATTTTTACTCACAACTAATAAATACAGGAATAAGTTTTCAAAACATGATATGAAATAAACTGCCGAGTTGGATTGCATCTTTCAGGGAGTAGTATGCTTTGCAGAGTCCACCAAATTCTTATGTTGTTTGCTTCGTTGAAATTTTTAATTAAAAAACGCCTTATAGAGCAAGCACTACAAAAATCATAATATTGGATGGCTCCCGTTTTCCAGCTTTGGCGTAAAAATAAATCTGATGTTGTAACCCCTAGCGAGCTATCCGGGCTTAGCTTTACACGGTCGACTCTCCTCCGTCCCATAAAACCATCCACGGTCAACCAATCACTAGAATGCGAAACGGCGGGATTTAATGTGAGTAGTCAAAATTGTTCACATAAACAATTTTATACACATTTTTTTTCGTTGTAAATCAAATGATAACATTAGGGCCGGGGCACTAGGCCCATGTCCAAGAGTTCGATCCCAGGTTGGCCGAAGGCTCCCCGTGTAGTAAATGGTGACTGATGCACTTTAAATCTGTCGAGTCGCAAAGTCCTCCCTGTTCCCATAATAAATCAAAACCTCTGGGGTTACTGAACCAGGAGTTTCCTTGTCTTCTGGATTGGGTTCAAAGTTACGGAGTTAAACACTAGTAGTCGTAAACCCAGAATTGGGTATGGGCAGTTGAACAACGGATACAAAATGATTATATTAGTTGGTAACTCTAAGTTAACCTAGTAGAAGACTATTTCGTCATACTCAGTGGACAAGTTAAAGAACGAAATATTTCGCCATTCACGAAATACTATTGCAATGGGCATCATATTACTGGAGGCGTGATAATAAGAAACGAGTTGAAAAAGTCTGTTCCCAGATTAATGACAAAATTGGACTCGAACCATCAGCAGTGTTTTCAAGATTCAGCAATAATGCTGTTTTGATTTCATCATAATGTATGCAAATTCTCTTCTCTTTAAAGAAGATAATTATAGACGGCCAGGTCATCGCTTGAAATTCTAATGACTAAATTTTCTTTACTTCCATCCCTAGTGAATAATAAAAAACTGATTTTTTTCAACTGTACTAAATTTTAAAAATATATATATATCANTATACAACAGTTTTGTTATATATATATATATTTTTAATATTTTTTAGATTTGTATATTTGAAAACTTTACTAATTATTAATGTGAGATTTTTTAACATATAATTTTAGGTTTCTGAAGAAACTGAGCTCGGGAAGTGGAAAAAGAGACCTTTCTATGAAATAACGTAAGAATGTATTTAAAAAATGAATAATCAACAGAGATAGGAAATACTAGATTCAGGGTATCTGCTACATTTTAGATTTTCAAATTAATGACTTTTCATGACTCATTCCAAAATTTTTCATGACTTCAGGAAGTTACCATTTTCTCCGACAAAAACACAACAATACATTAAAAAAAGCATCATAATAACATTCATTGAAATGATGAGTGTAACCAAAACTGTTATACTCTGCATCTCCATATTTATAGATTTTAAATTTAAAAAACAGAGTTGAAGCAATAAAATAGCTGAAAAAATACAAAAGCAAATATTTTTTTTCTACAGTATTATATTCCAAAGATACATTTTTTGTTTATCAGAAAAGAAATAAATACTCATGATCTTTAAGTTCCCATTTCGGAAAAAAAAATGTTCGCCAATGACTGGTTTGCTTCAGCTAGAATTTGAAATGGATAAAATAAAAATAATAACAAAAATTCTGAAATCAGAGAAGTTTAAAAGATAATTCGCTCCAGAAATGTTTTTTCTTTCATTTTTTGAAAGAACTCCATAATTTTTAAGGAACACGATAAAAACATTTTATATATTTATAAAATATGACTGTGAGTGAGGATTTTGTTGCCAATTCAGATATTCGGCGCGCCCTGAAATTGGGGGGGGGGAGTAAATTCCATTTTAAGAATTAGATTTTTCGCTGACCTAAATTCATGACTTTCCATAATTTCTCATGACTTTCCAGGTGCGCAGATACCCTGTTATTAAAAAATGTAAATTTTTCTAAATTCCAAAATTTTTTTCATTTTATGATAATTTTTACTTTTGGTGAAATTGCCCAAAATTTATAAAAATTTAACATTTCAAAATGCTAAAGCTTTTTATTTTAAATCCTTTATTTAAATACTCAAGCAAGCAGCGAACTGAGTGAATAATCCATATTTATTCAGAAACTCTCCCAGTTTCTGAACTATACAAAAACTGGGAGATACTGTCAAAATCTGGTAGATTTGGCAATAATAATCATTTTGATAATCAGCCGATTTAAAATAGTTTAACCATGTCACACACTCTCTCTGTGAACATGTATATTTTTATGAAAAAAAGGATCCTTAAATTTATGTATAACAATGAATTCACAGACTAAAAATTGCAAATTCTTTTGTCCATTAGGAACAACTTAGCCCATATTAGAGCCTATTACATAACAATGGAGGACACTACACTGAAACATGCTCCTAAGTATCAGGTAATTATTATATTTAGAGTATGAAACAACAATTTTATTACTTGAAAAATTTTTTAAAGTTGGATTGTGTATGTAAATTGGATTGTTATTGTATAATCTATTTGTATAAAAATATATGCTAATATTGTAATGCTATAGAAGGTGAAATAGCTTAGTATAACTGAAATATCCCATAGATTGCACTTTCAGTGGTCACCATTTTTTGAAATAAGAAAATAAATTTCCTTGTACTCTCCTAGCTTGTAAAGAAAAACTCAAATTTCCCTGTTATTTTAGGCGATGTTTAAATTCCCTGTATTTTCCAGGTTTTCCCTGTGGAGTTGCAATCCTGTAAAGAGTTCATAATTTATTTGATATCTTGGTTGCTCATAGAAAATTGAGAAGGAAAAAAAAAATTCCATAACACTATGTTGAACAAATTAAGAAAGATTATATATTAAAAAATATTCCATAAGTATCTTTCATGGAGCTTTTAAATTCTAACTAAGATAAATTACAAGAATAAAGAATTATTTTTTTCTGATAATTATTCTCAACACCGTTCTCATGGTCATTCTTCTTTTAAAAAATATCATTCAACTTATTTTATTCATTTTTGGGATATGCAAACACAAGGAACAAACTCATACCTAATATTAAATGTTTTTATTGTTCATATTAAATATTTTCAAAATAAGTTTTCTTTTTTAGCATATACACAGCTACTAATGAATTTTGAACCCTTTTTTTAATAATGCTGGGATTTTTTAAAATCAAGCTCTTTTATTTAAGGTACCATAATAATACAAAAAAAGAGGAGAATTATTTAGTTAAAATGTTGTATAAAAATTAAAAATGCTACTCAAACCTGTATGAGTCACGTCTCGCAAAATACAGTTCATGTAATTTCACATACTATCGAATCGTGGATGTTTTATAGCACATTTCAGTTTAACAGGATTTTTTTTTAATGCTTATTTTAAACTTATAAATTTCAGATCTTGACACGGCACGCAAAAAATTTGCTCAATTGAGAAGTGTGGAGTTTATTGTCAACATGAAACAAAAGAGAATTACTAAAAGATTCAAACGGTAGTTAGATCTAGATGATAATTTCATAAAATGAAGATATTTAAGATACAACACATTTTTATTTAGCATACATTTATTTTCAGAAGATGTAAAAATTTAGAAACAATTACACTTCATAAATTTGCCTTAACAGCTTCCCTGATTATCCGAGTTAACTCGGGTATGTATATATTTATCATCCCGAGAAAACTCGTGCTTAGGAGGTGTCAGTACATTTTGTCTTATCACGTTTTTACTCGGTCGGAAGCAAAAACACATAATCTGCTGTGATTGGAGGTTTGCTAAGTTTTATTTGGAAGTTTTGCTCTTGGACTGCACACGTGTTTTGAGCCATTGTAAATACAATGGTTGCTGAACTTACATAGAAAAAGAGTAAAACAAAATGGCGTATTGTTTCACTGACATTTGAAAAATATCACATTGTGTTGTTCCTTGTTTTAAAAACTATCATACAAAGACTAATATTTAACTTTTTTCATTTGCCTGAGATAACTTCGGATAGTAAACTGATGACAAATTAAATATTTTTAACCTATAAAAAATATTATAATTTCATCTTAGAACTTGTGTATTATGTTGTGCTTTTAGTTCCTTATATTTATTAATAATAAAAACAAAAAAATTATTTTTTGCATTTTTCTGAAAAAAATAGGAAAGGGAAAGCAGTTAAACAATGCCTTATGAAAATAATTTTTATAATGATTTGATTGCCTTGCCAGGAAAATAAAATAGCGCCAAAGGGCTCTGTATTATTACATCACTTTTTGCAATCGTCACTTTTCCTTTTCATTAATAATGTGAGATAAAATATAGTTTTCAATATTAGAAATTTGATTTGCAAGAAGAGTGTTAAATAATAAAATGGCTGCAAGAGACTCATTATTTTACATTCTATTTTTTAGGCATTGGAAATGTTTAGTCACATTGGAGGGTATGTTGGAATTTGGCTGGGAATCTCTCTCTTGGCTCTCTGTGAATTTATTGAAGCAACCATCAGAGTTGTCACCTTTGCGCTCAGTCGAAGGAAAAATAAGACAACAACTAAAAATAAGTCTCAACTAAAGAAGAAAGTTTTCAATTCACGCAATAAATAATTAAAACGAGACAAGCATTACTTTTTTTAAACTTTTATAGGCAAATGTTACAAGAACCAAAAATCTCGCAGCTATATCAAAGGAAAGTTCTAAATCAATTGCAAGTTCTATAATTTTCAAATAAAATATTCAATTTAGGATGTATTAATTGTCATAGGGAACCAGTTTATTTATTTTTTTTTTTAAAGATATTATCTTCAAAATGAATGAAATTAGTAGTCAAAAATAGAAACTTCATAATGTGTAAGTGGTTTCAATTCACATCTTGTAAATCAAGCAATGTGCAAGAATGTACAAGTGACTGTTATCGAAACAGTAGCTAAAGATATTTTTGATACTTGTGCAAGAAGGAAAGAAGAGGAAAAACTATTCTTACTGCACTGAATTTAAGAAATTAAATTCTCTGACTAGGGTTTAATACTATCTTTCATCGGAAAAACAATCTCTTTTTATTTAGAAAGTCAAAAATTGGATTTTGTAAGAGACCAAAGGAAGATAAAAATCCTTCATTGAAATTTTAAAATTAACTACTTTTAATGGTTGGTGAAATTGCACCTAAATTTTAACTATTGCCATTTTCTGTGCTAATTTTAAAATAGGTCAGTTTCGGGGTAAAGCTTGCCCCTCCCCCAAGCTTTAACAAAAATCATATACCCAGACTGTTCATGTTCTGAGTCAGAACACACACACTGCCTGATCAAAACTCTTATACTATCACTGATACATAAATTCAATACAAAAATTAAGTTTGCTTAGCAATAAGGAACTTTATTAATACAATTTATTAATACTTAAATACATTAACACAATAAAAATGTATCACATCTTAGAAATAAAATAGCTCGAACAATGACTGCCATTAATAAAATCACAGAAATATAAAAAAACCTGGCTTTTTAAAAATCCAGTCTCCAAGAACAAAATCGTTTTAATATCAGAACATGCCAAAATCAACCATAGGGAAAAAAATCCAAATTAAAACTGTTTATGAATTGAGAAAAATAATGGAATACTTAATATTATTCAATGTCAATGATCATTCAATATAAAGTAAATCAATGCACTACACATGTCAGAAAAATACATTTAGTTTTTAAAATAAACTTTATAGCAAAGAAAAGGAATTATTAAACAGGTCAAAAACTTTGATAAACTTTCAAATAATGCTGAATCTTAAATTTTGCTAATCAAACAAATATGTTAATAATTTAAAATCTTTCAGTAAATTTAAAAAAAAAAAAAATGTAATCCATGTTTAATCGATATGTCAAATGTATATTCAATAAAATTAAAATAGAAATGAAATATAAATAATGAAATCAATTTATCTTTTAGTGTATTTGTAAAGTAAAACTTCGGAATTTTTTTTCCTATGTGTAAATATTTCGGATTATGAAATCAAATGTTCTTAGGATTATAGCGATTTTAATGAATGATAGGCACTGTATTAACATTGCATAAAATTTTTTAAGCAGATAATAGAAACAACAGTACAGGGATGCCACTCAAATCTGGAGAAAAAAAAAATTCCCTGCGTTTTCCCAGTACATATTATACACTATATATTAAGATGAAACACAACAATTACTGTACTCTTGTGTCAGTTACAGTGGGTTAACTATACTAATTTTAATTGAGGGAAAAAGTAACATACTTAAATAATACTATAGTAAATGAAATAGTTTAGTATAGCAGCAATATTCCATAGATTACACCTAGAGTGGCTTTTATTTTTTGAAAGAGGAAAATATATTTCCTTGTATGTTCCTAGTTTGTAAAGAAAAACTCACATTTCCCTGTTATTTTAGGCATTGTTTAAATTTCCTGTATTTTCCAGGTTTTCCCAGTGGAGTGGCAACCCTGTAGTAATGTTCTGTAAAGTAGAAAAAAATGTACAGACACAGAGAATAGGAATATATTAATAAAAAGAAAAGTAGAAAAAAGATAGCATTGATGTATCGAAAATATTTCACACTTTATACATAACAAAAAGAAGGTGCCACAAAATGTTTTCACTTAAAAAAAGATGCAACAAATTCCTTCAGACCTCGTTTGAAACAGTCCCTGCATTTCTCAACTTCGTTTCAATGACATTGGATTTTGGTTGGAAATCAACAGTATTTTGTTGGTCTTCTGATGTCGTCCATCCAGCATTCTCAGCTTTTATATGCTTCTGCAGTTCTTCTTCCTAAAAACAAAAATCATTTAAAAAGAAAATGATTGGTAGACATTTTATATACGCCACACTATAGCTACACAATGGGCTATTGGGCAACGGTCTGGGAAACATTCCTGAGGATGATCGGATGACATGCCTGTCGATTTTCATCCTCAGCAGAGGGGATTGCTCCCCTGCTTCTGCAACCCGACCACCTGTGCGCGAAGTTGAGCACTTTATGGTAGAGCAGTTAAACGAGGACCGGTACCGCGCGCTCTCGGTTCCTTAGTAGGCTGATCAAAGTGGTCACCTTCCCGCTTACTGATCGCAGCTAGTGATTCTATGCCTTTCAGATAAATCTACAGTGGGGAGGCACATTTAAAAAAGAAAATAATTGCGACTTTATTAATATTCTTCTTCTTAGCTGCTGTCATATTGGACAAATTTATGCACATTTACAACACATATGATTGTATATTAGCATGCAAACTAGCAGTTAATGTTTCACAGAACTTAACAAATACAAAACGATAGCTAAAAACAAAATGTAACCTCATGCATAATATTGAGAGTGTGGGGAGCGGAGTTATCGACCATGCCAACCGTCATCTATCAAAAGGTACCTCGTGATTGAATCAAGTTAGCATGTCTTACATACTAGTGAATTGATGTTTAATATTCGTAGTGGTAGTTACGCCACAAGAGTATACTCCAATAAAATCAAGTAAAATATACTAACTTCTTTAGTTATCTTCTCATATAAGTCTAATTCATACTGGTATTTAGGCGATGTTATTCCAAGAAACCAGGCCAAATGTTCTCCAAGGTAATCACAGACTAAAATAGAACAGAACATGCATTAATACATTTTATTGAATGTTTCTGAATCAAAAGAAATTTTAAAACAGCTGAAGTAGATTTTTTTCTTGCAGGGTATAGACTTAACAACAAAATAGAATGAAACTAATCTCTCTCTATATTCAAATAATAAGTTTGCATGTGCTTACTGTAGATGTGAAGGGTCTCAAGTTCAAGAGTCTGTCCAGGCCAAACTTACAACTGTTTAGCGGTACCTTCACTAATTCAACTTTAGGAATAACGGTAGTAAAAATATTTTATCTCGAAATTTGTAACCCGTAAGAAATGATAAATCCATATTTTTGTGTTGATTTTTTAACATAATTTTCAATTTTCACAAATTACGTGTAAAGTTTCACAAAATAGGTACCCCTCAGAAAAACTTAGACGTACCCCCGACGTAAAACAGGATCACTTTCTGGCACAAAATTTAATATGAATGTAGATAGATGTTCAAGCCCAATAATTTAGAAATTTTTAAAATTTTTTCATACAAAAAAATAGTTTAAATTCAAACTTTAAGGTATACTAGAAAAATTTTAGCTATTAAAATTGCACATAAATTAAAAAAAAAAAAAAAAAAACTGAACTAAATATAGTCTAAAAAATAGGTCTTGACTATCAGCTATGTATTATTTATTAATATTTGAGATAGGTTATAATGTATTATTTTTAAAACAAGTCCATCTGTGAAAATTGAATTGATTTATCATAATCAAGTTTTAATAGTACAATTAAATTAACTAACCACATACTAATCATAATCTTTACTTCATACAATATAATCTGAACCAACTTTTAGATAATATGATACAAAAATTTGCATAAATTAATATAAAAATTAAAATTTTTTACTTTATTTTCAAAAATTGAACAAAAAAATTTAAACTTTCTGGTACATTAAATTTTTATTAATTATATTTGAATTAGTTTACGCATGAGGGCTGCTAGAAGGAAAATGGCCGAAGCGGCCGACTTTTGGAACCAGGAAAAAATTGTTTGAACCAGTGTTATAATACTTATTGCTAAAGCTAAACAAAGTTATTGGTTATTTCTAGTTTTTTTCATTTCATCTAGTTTCTAATATTTCTTATCCTGTGTCTTGGACAGTAGTGTACGCAGGAATAAGGAAGTATAATAAATAACTTGTTATACAGAGTTCTCCCTAAGAATAAAACAGGGTAGGGAGCTGCCTCTCACAAAAGGACTTTTTGAGTTTTACAGTGTTAAATGCTTCTTTTCTTTCTCGTTTAACACAGTAAAAATTTATCAAAATGAGTAATGTTATGGAATAACTAAATTTGATACTTAAAAATTTTTAAACTACCCTCTTATACTATTTTATGTGCACATTTCAAAAAAATAATTCTCTCTCATTATCAGAAGAAGAGAAAAATTTGTAGTTTGAGAATAATTAAAGGGGTGAAATATTTTTTTTAAAAAAAAAAAAGTTAACTAGAAAAAATTATTAACTGATAATAAACTTGAAAGTTTCTTATATAATTTAAACTGAAAATTATGAGAAAATAAACATTTAAAAGTGCATTAAAAAAAAGGTAGTTATTTAAAAAATAATTTTAAAAATTAAAATCACTAAAAAATTATTAATATCCCCCCCCCTGAAAAAGTTAAGAATAATCCTAACAGAGTAAATATTTGAATTTAGTAATCAAAATTAAACCAATAAACACAGATCATTTTACCAACGTGTAATAATTATTTAAACAGTGAATTAATAGTTTTTTCAACGGAATAGGAATAAAAAGGTTTCGAAGGATGGCGGCTAATTTTACGAAAAGGTCAAAGAGGATGTATTTACAGGGATCAAGTATCAAGCAGGGTGGATGGCCCTTCTAAAAACGCTTAGAACACTGAGTTATATATATGAAATTTTAGGGCACCTTCGTGCTGAATTACAATTACAGGGTATTTAGCAGCTTTGAACTTCAGAAAAAGGGATTTAGGGCTAAAATATTTCTTTAGAAAAGTCTCATTTTCTACAGGGTGCGTAGCCAAATCTTTGAATCAAAAATAAGCACTTTTTAAAAAATATTCAAGCACTTCACAAAAATTTTCAAGCACTCAAAAAATTCATATTCAATCAATGATATTATTGAAAAACAAAAACTTTCTATAAACAGTTTTAGCGTTAAAAAAAACCCAAAAAGAAACAGGCGTAAATCGAAACAATCGGTACTTTCCCACATCACCGAGTGAATTCAACTTGACCCTGAACTCAGAACAAAATTACCCTTACCCCCTACGTCAAAAAAAGTGTTAGAAGTAAAATAAAATAAACAAGAACAAAATTAAAATAAATTAAAAAGGAAAACATTTCATAAGGATCTGATATTCTCTATCCGAATTAGAGCACTCGGGTTTCGGTTTCAAGTGTGCGCGCATGAGCAAGTCATAACGTGAGTATGACATGAAGTCCGCGTGAATGATTAAGTAGCAAACTCCCCATTTTTCTTGAAATGCATGGGATCCAGCAGATATCACTGAAGGGAAAAAAAGTATTATTCGAAAAAAAGCACTTTTTAAAAACGCCAGCTGAAAAAAGCACCTTTAAAAGCTTTTAAAAACGAAATCCCCCAAAAAGCACCTTTAAATACTTTTTACAAACGCTACGCACCCTGTTCTAAAAGCTGTTTTTTCTTTCACAAGAAAAACATGTTTATAGCATTGCCAGTCAACTTATAGTCTCTCAAAGGATGATTTTTTCCAATGGTAGTAAAATAAAAATTTAATTACAATTATAAACAGAAATATCTGTTTTATTTGGCTGACAGTGCAAAAATAATATGGTATAGCTACCATGTACTTTAATAAATTTTAATTTACTCATGTGTAGGGGATAGTCACAATCATTTTAAATTAAACTTAGAAATCCAAGAAACAGCAAGCATAAAGTTTAGTACCAATTTAAATGTAAAAATAGAGTGTTAAGGGAAATGCAAAGAAGTTTGTAGCTATGCTCAATATTCACTACATAGATACACCTTATGAAAGTAATCTATGAATACTGACTTGCAACTACTTGAAATATGCAAAAACTTGATAATTAATGCCATAATCCATGCTTTTGTTTCAAAGTGATTAAAATTTTCATGAAAATAAACATAAAAAGACACATATAAAATTATTTTACTAAACAAAAGATAATTTTCAAATTTAAATGATCATAGACTTAGTCACTTACACATTTCTCATTTTCAAAAATAAAAAAAAAATAGGCAAGAAATATTTATCATCATACTTTAGTTTTTGATTCATTAATTTAAAAATTTGTTTTATCTAATTTTAGACTAGAGCAAGTTGATTAACTGTTAATTTTGCTTTGCCATCATTATCCCACTATTTAATTTTATGGGTTGCCTTCTAAGTAGTTCTTGTAGCTTTGGTGAGCATTAAATGCTAACAAAATGAATTCCGTTATAGTAGGGACTAAGTAACCTTTTTCAATTTTATTTTTTTCATTCCTGAAAAGACCACGATTTTAGAAAAACCAATTAATAGTTTCTATAATTTGGCTATAATTTTTACACGATATATAATATAAATCCTAATTATACTTTAATTCAAAGCAAGTTTTGTATATGATTTAATATCCAATAAAATCCACAGTGACAAAAAAGAAACTTAAACCAGGTTGTTAACAGTTTTAGTCATATTTTGACAGCTTTTGACGCGTCATGTCAAAAACCAGTTTTTTACATCAAAAACCCAACTGTGGAGGTGAGTTATGCTTTTGAATAAATTTTAATGGTGAAAATCATGTATTGCTCCTTTGAAAGAAAGCCGGTAGGAAAACAAAAAGCAATTATTTAATTTTTGTAAACACTTTATTATACATCTCACCCCCCCCCCTGATCTCATCATAACAAAATTGAATTTCAAGGAAATAAAAAAAATTAGATGGACAAAACATATCAAGTAAGAATACTCCCTAAGCTTCAAAAAATTATAAATTGAATTTTATTATTCTTCTAAGATTTTTAACTTTTTTTGTTATTGCTAGTTTTACCGACACAATTATTTAAAATACTGACAGAAGAATTACTTTAAACAAAGAAACTATAAACTGAACCATTCAATAAATCAAAGTTAAACAATCGCTTTGAAATCGAAAGATCATTATCCCTTCATTAATTGATGAAGGTAAATATCTTACCAGCAAGTGTCCTTGAACCAAACATCCACAGCAGGTATTCAAAATATGGGATCCACTTCAATGAACTCTAAAAATAATCACATAATTTATATAAGTACTTTTTTGTAAATTTCATGCCAAACAATCGCAGAAAAACTTCAAGCAATATTTTTATATTGAAATAATTTAATAAAAAAAAATATTTCTTTAAAATTCGGAGGCCAAAGCTCTTTACACAAAGTGTTTGCTTGAACCAAACACAAGTAAGTTTGTGAACAGTGAAGATAATAAAATAAGATTTAACATTGTTTTACGTGTGTTTTGTGCAATTTAAATGTAACTGGTTCAAAGGACCAGTAACTTACTGATATACATATAGGGTGCAGAGCCAATGTTAACCTTCATCTATGAAAATGTACCCCAAGATAGAATGGAGTTAACATGTCTTATATACTAGTGAACTGGAATTGTATTTTTGTAGTGGTAGACACATACACTACAATGTAATTATATATTTAGTATCTTTCTTGTCAGAATTGAAACAATAACAAAAGAACATTATTATTTGACAATAAGAACATTTCTTGTAAACATAAGAATAAATTCAAGATTATTATATATATATATATATATTTTTCAAAGGGTGAAATAATCTACTTAAAGTGTTTAGATGGCAGACATGTGATTGCTGGAAGGAGAAATTTTTTTTTTTTTTTTTTTTTTTATGTAATTTTTTTTCCATATTNTTTTTTTTTTTTTTTTTGTAAGTACATAATTTTTATAGCCTTTTTATCTTTAAAAAATAAAAATAAAAGCAGCTCAGCATCAATTGAAAGAATATTTTTCAACTTTTGCTTAATTCATTTAAAACTGAAATGCAAGCTTAGATTACAGAGGGCTTTGAAACTCGTGATTTATAATCACATGTTTCGTGGAAAGAATTTAAAGGAGAAGTATATGAAAACTCAATAAGGAACAAGATGATTTTTTAGAATTTTTTTATAAGATGATTGTTCTTGGATTCAATAATTAAACAAATTAACAGATTAGATAAATTGCCATTTTACACATTTTTATTTATAATTATGTAATAATTATAATAATAAACTATGATTTTCTATGGAAAAAATTACTGGTTTGTAACAGTAGTTGTCAAAACAAAAAGGGGGTTCACTGTCAAAATGATTAAAGGATTGAACTGATTATCAACAGAATATATTTGATTGACGACTTGTAATCTTATAACTACTTTTGTTTAAAATTGCTTCATACTTATAATAGCTAATAACTATTATTACACCAAAATGTTTGTTTTTGACAATTATCAAGCATATGTTAAGAAGAGGTTTTTGTCATGATTATTAAAACTGGATAATCGTCAACCCTGCCCAACTATTTATGAATTCGAAATGTTATCTTTGTAAAGTAAAATAAGTATCCATATAAAGTGAATATAGATAAAAATATAGCTTAAAAAAATTAAATTTAAGCTGTATTTTTATTGATTTGCATTTGCACTTTTTTTTATTTTTAATAAGAATTGGATAATATAGAATGTTTTCACAATCGCTTTAAGATATAATTTTAAAAACTACACCAGAATTTCATAAATTCTATTTCTAAGTTAGTTTTAATTCAAAACATTTTGATTATCAACATTAATTTTGATACTAAAAACAATTACATTAGATAGAAACTTGTGTAATTAAAGTTTCAATCTATCATTACCATTTCTTAATTGTAAATAAATTGTTCAAATAAATGTGAAATGAAGAATAAAACTTCAACCAGAGTAAAAAGTCAACTGAAATTTTATTGATCTATTTGAAAGGAAAGTTTATTAGTTACAGACACAAAATATATAGATAAAAAAAAAATTATGATTAATTCTGAAGAAAAATACCACCAATCTACCCATTTCGAAACCATAAACAATTTAGATGAAATAGACAAATTATATTTTAAAATATAATATTAAAAAAATATATCATGCTTTTATATTATTATACAGCAAATCAAGTAATTAAGAAAAATATATGTTAAAACTAAACAAAAACAAACTAATTATAATTATCCAGGGTTGGGTTTTTGACGTCAAAAAGTGGTTTTTGACATGACAAGGGTATAATACTGGTTTAAACCGTCAAAAACCCGTCAAAAACTAAAGTTTGCCAAAAAAATAAATAAACTTCAAAACTACCAACAGTTGCCATGCATTATATTGAAATTTAATTATACTATAGGTAATCAGCAGGTTTTAAAATATTTTTTAATTAAAATTAAGGTAAAATAACAGATTTAAAATCTCAGAAATTTATATTCAAATGCATGTGCAGAAAAATTTTGCACAAAATTTTTTTAAATATTTATATTTTGAAAAAAAAATTTTTTTTTTTGATACTTAAGAAAATTAAAAGTTTATTACTATGCATTTTTGACATATAAGGAACATATAACTAATATTTATAAGGAACTTACAAGTTATGTTGTATAAATACAAACTTGATACAAGTGTATAAAAATTTTTTTTAATGTTATACCGAATATCTTTATTATCCAGTATGTTAATTTGAATTTAAAAGTAGTTATATTTGTGAATAATGATAAATATAATTCATATTGTTTATTATATTTATTTATAATTATTACACTTATCATTTTAAAACAATTTTTATCTCTTAATTTTTTTTTCTCCACTTGTATTAAGAATACAAATAATGCATATCTTGAAAGCAAGAAGTAATTATTCAACAGCTGAATATTTAGATATTCAACAAAACTATATAGTATTCAGCAAAATGAAATTCACAAGTATTTGGATAAACTAAATTTTCAGCATAGTAAATGAATAGGCTGAATATACTGTAAATCGACACTAACTACTCTGTGTATTTAACAGAAAGCACTTAAATTTGTATTGTCTTATGTTAAAAAGATTATTAAGAAGATTTAAAAGAATATTAAAAAGATTTTTCTTTAAAAGATGTCTAATGTACAAAACTGCTAATGTTTATCTTTAAAAATGTCTAATTTTTAGTATAATCTATACTATACACTAAATTTGGTTATAAATAAATTTCTTAATAATATCACTGCAGATTTTCAATAACACATGAAAATGAATACATAATATTACAAAAGATGTGAGCTTTCAAAAGTACAAGATTTTGGTTACTATTCAAAATATAAGTGTTTCTTCAAAATTTTAAATTTATTTTTTCTAGAACATATTTAGAAACACTATCCTTTTTAAAAAATATATAAATTTTATGTATTAATTAAATTTCACATATGAATATAGGTTTTTGACATTTTCGACATTTTTGACAGTGAGGTTTTTGATGTGACAGTTTAAACCATGGTTTAAACTGTCAAAAACTGTCACATGTCAAAAACCTGCCAACCCTGTAATTATCCAGTTAAATATTATTACTATTCTATTTCTCAATTACGGGTCCTGTTTTCACAAAAATGCATGTTAAAATTACAAGTAAGAATTTTGTTTTTAAATCATCATGTGTTTGTTTACAAAATGCGGTTTTATTTAAGGTAATATAAAAATATAAGTGATACAATTATTGTGATACTATTATGATTATAAGTAATACTATTTTTGCAATGAAAAAGTAAAAATTCTAAATATTTCTTCAAAATATTAGATCATATATCATTTAAAAAGATTACCTATAACTACATATCAGCTATATTGATTCATATAAGAAAAAATATTTTCTTCGTGCGTATTTAAAGCATTTAAGGACAGTCATTACATTTTGCCAAGCACTGATTTGTATAATATAATCTTAAAATATTCAACATTTTTTTAAAGATGAGAAGTTCTAGTTATTTTAAGCAAGAGTTTTGTAAAAATCAACCACATACTGAAAATATGAAGAAGAAATATATATTAATCAAATATATTTAACCAAAAAATTCTCTCACTTCAGGTTATATTGTGCTGGAAATGAATGGTTACAAAATATATTGCAACTTGTTACGATAATTTTGTGGTTGACAGTTAATGTAAACAATAATTAAGAAATTTTTTAAGGTAACTTTTTAATAGTTTTAAATTATCAGTACACAACTACAAGAATAAAAAGTGTAAGCATGCGATCAATAAATTTAGATCCCAGTTTGATTTAGAATAGTATAAAAAACTAGTCACAAATATAAGCTAAAAACTACCCATACAGGATCAACGACTGATTGAGACTCTTTTCCCTGAGCATCTACAACTTCTTCTTCATCGGAACTGAATTCTTCTAAGATTCCATCACTGAAATAAATCAACCGTTTAGGAGCTTTTTTTCGTTGTAGATCCATAAGATTGACTTCAGTGAAGCTTTCTTTCTCCGTAGTAGTCTAAAATTTTGAAGAAAACATTATAAATGTAAAGCATTAATATCTTTTGCATACGTTGCTAAAAAAAATGAAATAACAAAACCGAACTATTCCAATACCATGGCACAGAATTTTCGGACTATATTGTATATTGCAGAATACTTCCAGAAGCTCTTTGCGTATGCTTATAACTTCATATATAAGATTTATTTAACGGATGGTTCTCGTTGGGAAGTTGGACTAAATGTAAACAAAGGATGGTTGATCGATATATTCATCGCGAATTATTGTAACTAAAGTATATGCAGCTTGTAGCTTTCATATAAAAGAAAGTAAAAGATCATTTGTGACAAAGCAAATTTAAGTCTACTTGGAGATCCCAAATATTAAATTTTATAAACTGAATAAATGGAGAGCCTGTATTTCTTTGCAATTTTTTCAAGTATATATACATTTAAAGAACGAAAAACTGTTACGTATCGGATGCTTTTCCAATACTGAATTGTAAAAGTTTATTATTTATTAATCAGCATTGTAAACATGTGATTGAATACGAAACTGATGACGAATTAAATATTGGTATCTTTTGGAGTTTACTTCGAGCAGGTTGCACTGAAATCCTTAAATTTTTTTATAATAAATAATGTCTGACGATAATTTATTACAGTTCGTTCCATTTGCGTCTGCACTAGAAGCAGGATTTTGGTATCAATTGACTAAAAAGAAACTGGAAGTTTTCAAATTAGATGACAAACCTGTAGAAATTCAAGCGTTTTACTCTAACAGTAAGAATTTGTTTTCTTTGTCTGATGATTTACGTTAGTGCTCTTAAATTTCATGTTGTCATTGTTTACTAATGTTTCTTTTTGAAATTGGTTTTAGAGCTAATAATGAGAGCCTAGCATTTTTTACCAAATGCATGTCTGGCATCAATTCTTTCTTTTAATTATTTATTTTTAGTATTTTATAAATAAGAACTATTGGCTAGGGGGGAGAGATTTCCATATTGTGATCATTGGTGGAATAATCACCAAGTCTTTGCAACTTCTGAGCAGCAGGCAGTGAGAAACTAAAAAAAAACATCACGGATAGGGACAAACTTCAAGGGTATAACTCGTAACCAACCTTAGGTAAACTGTTTTTTCATTTTAAAAAATTGCAAGTTTAAAATCTATTTGGCAACTTTGCGGTTGTAGTTGGCTCGACATATCACAATACAGAATAGGAAAATGACTGTGAAATGAGAGGAACATTACATTTCAAAAGTATAGAAGTTTCTCTTTAAAAAAAAGTGTCTTAATTTACAGTAGTGATGGCCAGGAGCAATGACTAATAGGTTAAGGCACTGTGAACTATAATTGTGAAGTACCATAGTTCAATCCCTTATTCAGTCTTGTTATTGGGACAAGAATTAAAATTGCCTTTCTAATTAATGACTAATAGGTTAAGGAGCAATGACTAATAGGTTAAGGCACTGTGAACTATAATTGTGAAGTACCATAGTTCAATCCCTTATTCAGTCTTGTTATTGGGGCAGGAATTAAAATTGTCTTTCTAATTAATTTTATTTTATAATCGTCATTGACAAGCTGACCGAATTTTCGGGTTTACAACTACAACAAAATTACCTTACTAAATAATTTTATTTTATAACCTTCGTTGAACAGATGACCGAAATTTTGGGCTCACAACTACTCATGTTTCTACTCCGTAGCCTTGATCCTTCTACCGCTGAGGATATTTCACGTCAGCATTGTGATTGGTGCAAGCCGGATGCAGATTGTTATTGATAAGCCATCGCTGAGATTCGAACCCAGGTCACCTTATTGGAAGGCAAACAGTCTGTTCCTTGAGCCTTTGTGATTTTTTCTAAATAATTGCTGATAGACCTCTTATGGTATTTGGGTATCTGGGGTTTCAAAATATACATCCTGATATAGGGTAAAATTTTATTGCTGGCCAGGTGTAGCATTTATAATTGTGCTAACTTGTGAAAACATGTAGCAATTTTAAACTATTTTAAAAACAACTGATTTATTAATGTTTGCCTAAACCCTAAAGTTTTTCATAACGTGAGTTTTTTTTTATTTTTATGGATATAAAATTTTGAACTCATTGTTTTTACACTTCAATTATATCATAATCATTTAAAATTTTAATATGTGAAGCTTATTAAATTAGGATGTTTTTCTTTATATTCTCTCATCTTTTGTAGGTGGACCCACTGGATCCCCTTGTATTGTGAATATAGATTATTCTTCTCTGGAAGTGTAAGTATTTCACTTGCATCACATTAAAAGTTGTTCTTTTTATAACTTCTAAAACAATATTTGTAAAAAAAAGTTTTCTTAAGCATGATAGCCAACTACAAATATTTATTTTACATTTCTTTTCTGTGCAACTTTTACCCAATACCATGTAAACATGATGCATAGAGTTTTTAAAAAGTGCTTAAAGGTGGTTACTTTTGATTTTCATTTTTTAAAAGCCTTTAATGGTGCTTTTTTCATTGGGTTTTTTTAAAAAGTGCTTCATTTTTTCTTTTCAAAAATTAGATTTTTTTCTTTACCATGACGATTTTCACCATGATAAAGCTTGCTTTTACATTGTTCTATTTTCACAATTCATTCAACAAGCCATTTGGTCATACCGTCGGTCCATTGCGTATGAAAGCGCCAATCATTTGGTATGCTAGATGAAATAATTGCGAGTCTGCACGTGTGTCTAATGAGCTGGGTTCGGTGAGATTCTTGCACTCTTGTGCGCAACTCTACTGCATTTTGCAAGATTCTCTCGATTTCGGGTTCCATTTTCCACCCTCTGATATCGAACTGAAAATCTCTCCATCATTTTATGATGGCTAATATAATCAAGAAAAGAGTTCTTTGTCAGAAACTAGCTATTTTATCATGATCATGTAAAGTCTTTGAAAATTATTTTGCATTTTGTTTATGTACATAGTGCTTAAAAAGTACTTAAAAGTTCTTATTTGTTGTTAAAAGATATGGCTAAGCATCCTGATAAATATGTGGAAAAACTGGTATTTATCAGTTATCAGGTCGCTGTGTTCTTTCCCAGTTTGAAAATGTATTCCCTATAATCAATAAGTGCGTCAGTTTAACATTGTGGTATATTGTTAAAAAAATGTCAATATTTCCTAATTTAGCCAAATTATATTATTTTTACATTGGTTTTAAGCATAAAATGGATGAACACACACAATGATACAATATTCAATAACTATTATGTATAATATGACGGTTTATTTTTCATGGTATTTATTAATAGTTATAGATAATGTTTAGGATATTATAGTATTTGATATTTATACCAGGGCTCCTGTGGGTTAGGAAAAACTGGAATTGTCAAGCAATTTTATTTTAACTCTAAAAAGTCAGGAAAAGTTGCAATTTTTTACAAAAAAACTAAAAAATTCCTTTATCATAACCTGGAAAATAACCTGTCTTAGAATTTTCAGTAACAATTGAGATTCCAGTTAAATAGTTTCAGCATCTATTGGTTATTTGGTTGGTGTTGTGTCATGGACAGAAAATAATTTTAAATGTGATCAAAGGTCCTATATACAACATCTGCTATTTGAAAGCAATTTTCTTCATATAAGTCCGCCCACGGATTGTCACTTATTTGCTGCAATTGCGCCAGTATAGTGGGACAGTTGAAAAGATCCAACATCTATTACAATTATTTTATAAATTTCATCCTTTTCTTGAAACTTTTCCATGTTTCCATTCTCAAGGAGTTTTGAAATCAAGGGGGAACCCCATTGTTGTTAACAATGTTTTTGCTTAATATTGAGAACATTTGCAAAATCTTTCAAATATAGAAAATAAAAACTTATTTCTTATAGTTTATATAAAAAAAAGTAAAAAAAAAGTTAGCATTTGTAAATGTTTTAGAGCCATTTGTGTCTAAAAGTAGAAAAAACTATGCTTGTTACACTTTCTTATTGTACAAAAAGTAAGATTATTTTATTGACTTCAAAGATTTTTCCACAATTTTTTTAATTTTAAAACTCAATTTATGTGATTTTTCTTTTAAAAAGACAACTCGTTTGAGACAAATTTTTTTATTTAATGTTTTAAGCATGTTTAAAACAAAATGTTTTAAATGTAACAACCCTGCTCTCACATGAGCAAAATATTATGCTTCATTTCATGAATAAAATTAATATTATACTTCATAAATAAAAAGCAACTAAAGGTGTTTGATAAATAAATAAAAAGCATTACTTTATAATTTATTTAAGAGTATTTTGTATAATTTTGTTTAATGCACTCGAATAAAATATATGCTCTCCCATCATGCAGGGACACAGCAGTCTCTCCTGGTAGTTTTGGACTGAGAGGAACTTTGATCAATACCAATACAATAGAAGACTTCAAACTGAAAGATAAAAAAGATTTGTTGAGGTCTGTTGGACAAAAGGTATTTTAGAATAACTATACAATAGATTGTTTTTAGAAAAAGAAGTTTCTCTTTTTTAGTAACTTTTGAGAAGTGAAATTTTTTTTTGATGGTAGTTTACTCTTGTATAAATTTTGATGAGTGAAATTTAAAATAGAGGAGGGAAAATATTTTAGAAGGTAAGTTTATTCCTCTAATAATTTTTGAATAGTGAGAAGTTTTTAGAGAGTACTTTCCCTCCTTTAATAATTTCTGGGGAGTGAAATTTAAAATAGACGAGTAAATTTCATAATAGATATTATGTTCGTAAATGACTACCATTTTCTGACATGGATTGATTATATTATAACTAACCAGTTGTTCACAGTGGCTTCTGTAAAACCTTAGTGATTTGCTTAATCTGTAAAAGTAAACATTTTGCCAAATGAAAATGTTAGCAAAATGAATTCGCCTCCCCCAGGTTCTGATTTGAGTGCAATTATCAGCTTTAAAAGCAATCAAAGCAATAATACTCTAGAAATTTTGGAATTAATTAGATTAAGGATTAGGAAGAAATTAAAATAATGTTGCAGGGTTTCTACACGGTCGGGAAAACCTGCAAAAGTCAGGCTATTTTAAAATTAAGCTAAAAAGTCAGATTTTTTTTTACATATTTGTAAAGTTAGGAAAATAAAAAAAACTATAGTTCATTCAATGACTGACAGGCAAAAATAAAGTTTCAAGGAAAAATTCTGTAATTCAAAATATATAATTTCCTCATAATAACATTCCTCTTTCCCTGGTAGAACCTGTCCTCTTAGCAATTTTCCTCCTGTTTATCCAATGATAAGGAATTTTTGATAGGGTTGCTAGGTTTATTGCTCTTTGTGTGAATAACTGGTTTACAGACAATAGTAGCGGAAACAACAGCAGAACAATCAAAAAAGGAATTTTTACTGTTTTGTGATACTGCCAAAAAAAAGAAAAGCAAAAGAGTTTCTTAGAGTTTAATCCACAGCAAAAGAGATTAGATAATTTTTTTTCGAAATATTTGCACAAAGAAAAAAAATGTGAAAATTTGTGGGAGGGTATAAAAATTGTTCTTATCCTCTCTCATGGTAACGCAACAGTCGAAGAGGGGTTTTCAATCTATAAAAGCTTATGGGTTGAAAACCTCAATGAAGACTCTATTATTTCACAAAGGCGTGTGTATGATTATGTTTCATTTATAAGTGGAGTAAGAAACATAGACATTAATGAAAAAATGCTAGATGCTGTAAAAGGATCTAGAACAAGATGGAGACATGCATTAGAAGCCAAAAAAAAAAAGAATGAAAAAGCTGAAATTTCTAGAAAACAAATAAAAGAAAAGATAGATGATTTGAAATTGATGATTGAGAAAATCTAAATTGACAAAAACTGCTGCAACAGAACTGGATGTTCTTGATTCAGAAATTGTCAAACAACAAAATATGTTGAGAAATATTACATAACATAGGAATGCCCCTGAGTTTCTCCGGAAACATATTTAAAAGACAGAAACAAATTTAAAAATACTGAAAAGAAGATATTTTTGATTTTATTTTTCTCACAAGTTGCATAATTTTTCTATCTGAATTTTTATTTGTGTATAATTAACTTTTCTTGACTTTTTTCCCCTTTATATTTCAATATTATCTTTTAAAAGAAAAGTCAGTTTTAAGTGAAATTGTGATTTTTTAAAATTATTATTATAATGTAACAAATGTTCTAGTATGTTTTAAGAGTAAATATTATTTGAGGATACTGATACATATCTCGCAGATTTGATTAACCCTTTATATCCTGACGACACTCATGCATTTGGTTCCACTTAACATTAAATAAAGTAATATTTCCATAATCCAACAGATTTTCTTGATCTTTTTATTCAAATAGTTTTCGTATCTAACTACAAAAACACGCTAAAAGTTTAATCTAATCATGATAATTAAAAATATGTTTCACAAGTTTTCTGAAAATATAATTTGGGATATAAAGTGCAATTACGCAATTCCACTTTAATCTATAAGTGTTTATCCTATTCAATCTATGATACTTATGACTCAGTAGCATATTATTAATAATTGAAACTGCAATGTTAAAAGTTTTGTTGGAGTGGGAAACGACGGATCAGGAATTTTATTGTAAAAGGTCAGGAAAAATCAGCAAAAGTCAGAATATAGTTTTCTCAAAATAAACCCTGTGTTAACTTTTATAAATAAAGGGCAAGACTGGAAAATTTATCTGGTTGCCACTGGCCTCTAGAGATAAATTTATTAGTGGCCTCTTTTTTTTTTTTTTTTTTTTTTTTTTTTTTTTTTTTTTTTTTTCTTTCTACTGGCCATTTTTTGCATTAAAAATACCTTAATATTAATTTTGCTTCTAAATTTAAAAAAAAACAACATTTATTTCTTTATTTTTTTTAATTTAAAAGAAATATTGTTATTAGTATGAGTAACTAATAAAATTAATGGATAATTTTATATTTAAAACAATTATAAAGCACATGATATTAATTCACTTTTGGCAATTTAAAATTGTAATACTCATTTTAATATCTCTTATGCACTACTATCAAAATTTAATATGCAATTCCATATAAATTGTTTGACAAAGGCTACCATACTTAATATCAATACATATTTATTGTAAATTAAAGTATTTCAAGCTCTCTGCACAGATCTATGCTAATGCCTAACTAATGATGGAACTTTACTCTTTAAAATGTGTCCTGTGCTAATATGTATTATTTATGTTCCTGTCATTTGTTTATTTTCAAATTAATAGAGCTCTTGCAGAAGAATAATCTGTAATATACGACATTACTTTATATTGTAATATTGTCATTACATTTATAAAAAAAAAATTCTTTCAATTTCTAAGAATTCTTATATATTATATTTTTTTAAATATTCATCGTGTAGAAAAATCATTTACTTTGAGATAACATCGCTTTCTTATGAGAGTAAAAGTAACCAACAATGGCCGTTTTAGGTCAGTCCAAAAATATTCTTGTTTTAGTGTTAAACTCATCTGAAAAGAAAAATTAACAGATTATCTTATTATTGTTGTAAAGTTATTTATTTATTTGATATTATTATTTACGGTCTTTATTTTTCTTGGTATTATTTGCATTTTGTTAAATAAAAATATCGACGATATTATTTAATAATGTTGTGGCATTGTTAAATAAAAATGTCTTTTTTTCTTTTCTCAAGTATTTTCTTAGAAATGTTTTTTGGCATATTGGAATTTACTATAATTTATATATTACATATAGTTCAGATCAAAAATTTCAAGTATAAGATGGACCAAAAATTAATACTTTCCAAGATTATTAATTACATAATTATGCAAATTTATATTTGAATTGTACATGTATTTATGCTTTCTAAAGTAATGCAGGAAAAAAGAAATTAAATTTGTTGTTTTAATTAGTTTGTTCGGGTGTGTATTTATAATTTTAGCATACTTCCAGAATAAATGCATTCATATAATGTTTAATTATACAGAAGTGACATTTCCCTAAAATTATTTTTTAAATGTTTTTAGATATGGAAATCTATTACAGATGAATCAGCCCTTGAAAATCCAACAAATTTACAATCTTTGGTCTGTTTAACATTTGCTGTAAGTTTTTTTTATCGAATATGTTTTTATCAACTTATTTTTTATAGCTTTTCAGTCTCAATTTTTATATTGAATTAATTATAAGTGATTCTGAAACCATCCTTTATTTGTTGTTTATCTAGGGTAGTTACGAATAAAGTTACTTTACTCAGACCAACATAGTCTGCAACATCTCCTAGAAGAGAGAAGGCATCCGCTCGATTTACCCTAAACGTGAAATCTGGTTCTTTCGTAGTCCCAATGTTATGACATTTCTTGTATTTTCCTACTACTATGCAGTTTAAAACCCCAAACGTTAAGACATCGTTCTCATTTTCTCCCACTAATCAGTTTATGTTTGTTACATCGAACTATTAAATTGATCCGTACAGGGGCCTTCTCTGTTCTCAGAGGTGTTGCTTTTAGTAGATGAAACTCAGTATAAACTTAATATGGAGTGTGGAAGAAAAAAAAAGCATCTGCATTAAAATTTATTTGGAATTTTGACCACAAGATAAAAAAAATTATAAAAATCAGACATATAGTACCAAAAAAAAATTTATAAATGAAACTTTACATAATATATGTTGAGTCACGATGGCCCAGGGGATAGGGCGTTAGCCTTCCAATGAGGCGAACCGTGTTCGAATCCCAGTCGATACGAATTCTACATTCGGCTTGTACCGACTACAGTGCTGCCGTGAAATATCCTCTGGGGTAGACAGAACATGAGTTAGAGTCCCCTTGCTAACCATGCCGTCAGGGTAATCATGGGAGGTTCTCATTGTCTTCCTCTTGATGTAACACAAATGCGGGTTAGCTCCATCAAAAAGTCCTTCACAGAGGCAAACTTTTCCCAATACTTGATTCAGGAGTTCCCTTGTCTTCTGGATTGGGTTTAAAATGACAAGGCTATAGAATTAAACATTAGTAGTGGTAAATCCATAAAATTGGGTTGTCTGTTCAACGACGGTTATAAAATAAAATAATATATGTTTGTTATGTATTTTTTTGTCATAAGCATATTTATTTACATTAAGCTTGAAGCATCAAGTTCTAGCAATCCAGATTCCTGCCAAGTCTCCTGTTTTTTAATGAAGACTCTTGCATTTTATGACTATCTCCTGTTTACCCGTATATTCTCCAATTTCTCTGTATTTGTTGAAAAAATTGTTTTTTTTTTTTTTTTTTTAAATATTCGATTAAATATCTGCTAATGGCAAAAATGCTTCTCTTATTCCTCAACAGGTGCTATTGCCAATACTGCAGTATGTTGAGTGTCAATTCTTTAAATAATTTTAAAAAATGGTTTAAAATAATCTTCTTTAGATGAAATACACAATTTTTACTTCACTAAAATTTAAAAATAAACTTTCACCTTGTGCAAGTAAACACCACATTGAATTCAATCCGATTACTGTTCTGATTATTGTCGTTGTCAGATAAAATTTATTGGGGTAAGGGGACCATATTATAGTGCCATTTTCTTTGAAAATAATGTGACTATAGGGTCTAATTTTATGAAGAAATAATTTATTGTATTATTGGTCATAGGAAATCGTATGAATATTTACCTAAATTAATAGAATGTGATTTTTAACATTTTCTCAGACTACTCAACCTAGTGTTTTGTTTGAAAGGGAGAACCAATTTCAGCTGTTTTTTTCTACCATTAAAATAAATTCTTAATGTTCTCTTGTTTAAAACAATCTGCAGAATCAGCTGAAATAAATTCTTACATTTTTACCTCTTCTTTTTATGTCAAATAGTCAGGGTTTAACTGTAATATAATTTTTTTAAAATATGTTTTTGTGCCAATTTAAGTCTTTGTTGAACTTATCCACTTTGTATAACTGAAAAATTATTGCGATAATTATTATTATTTTTAATTTTTTTAAATTTTAAGTGCCGCAAATTGAAATTTATTTAGTGTTCATTTCATTATAATTTTCTGTCAATAATGTCATAAAAACAATGCAATTATTTTTTTTAAAACATTGATTGATCATGTGGTGACTGCAATTGAATAATGTTTTCTGCCTTAATTTCAACAGGAATTGAAAAAATACCATTTCTACTATTGGATTGGTTTTCCTGCCCTGGTTTATCCGAGGGTCACTAAATGTGGGGAAATACGTGGAATTTATGACTACTTTAGTTCTGAGCAAGTATGTAATGTTATAATCTGTCTAACATTTGATGGTTGTAAACCTTAACAAATTGTGACTTAATATTTTTGTCAGAAATTAATTTTGTTTTAAAGACACACATTTAAGGCACATTTCATCTTGTTATTAATTGCATTTAATGTAACGTACAAGCTTATCCAAAATTATGAGGAAATTAATTTATGGTAATGCCAAAATAATGAGGAATTGTTACTTTTATATAAATGCCACTTTTTTTATTTAATAGAAAATTCATGCATAATTTTATTAATGTTGTATATTTATATAATATCAAGAACACTAACTCTAGATATTTTTATGTTATTGTTCTTCTAATTACTGATAGCTAGTAAAGTTGACCTTTCTGATTTACACATAATAATAGAATTCTTTGTGAAGGGAAAATTCTCGTTTCAAACACTACTTTACACAGCAACAATTGAAGCTCATTTAAAAATGTTAAATGTAAACGAAATTTTTTGAAATAAAATAAACCTATGTGTATATTGTTTCCGAAATTGATGCATTGTCTTTGCTTTTGAGTATTTTATTAATACAATAAAATACTTAATTAAAAAAAAGTTGTTACTTAATATTTTTTCAGAGATTATTTCTGTTTTAAAAGCAGACATTTAAGACACAAGTCATCTTGCTATTCATTTCATTTAAACTTACAAGCTGATCCAAAATAATGAGGAAAGTATAATATTTCTGGATCAAATGCGAGAATTTTAGTTATTGTAAAATCTTGTAGATATAATTTTTTTTTTTTTTTTTTTTTTTTGTAATCTCTCTTAAAAGTTCTGCAAACGTTTCATACGAAACAAACTTCACACCTAATATAGTAATTAAATTCTTAAAACATCTTTTAAAAAATGAGTATTCAAATATTTTTATAATTCCTGAAACTCTTCATGCTTTGAAATATGTCATATTAAATGTTAATTTGACCCATGTTCTCACAATGCTCTACACCAGTGATTTTTACTTTTTTCTGCTTCATAACCAGATTTGTCAAGTTTTCGACAATTGACGTTTTTGTCAGGTTTTAACCACGGTTTTATCCATCTTGTCAAAAACCCTATATTTTTCCGTAGGGATAATTATTAGCCATTATAAATAAGAAGTCTTTATAAATAAACAGGCATATAAAATTACAAGTGATCAATCAGTTAACGTTTTTGAATTTTATCATTAAAAACTTTTCATGTTTTGAGGATTGACGTCAAAAATCCGAATTCTGCTGTAGAAAATATTAAATAATTATAAATAAAGGTACAAAAGCAATAATCTTGATAAGAGAACTCCCAACAATCATCTTATTCATTATATGTAAAATCAATTATTATTTACTCTCATTTCAACTCCTTTCTCTGAAGCCTTCTGTAATCTAAGTTAATTTTTTAATTTAGTATAATAAAACCAAAATAATTCTTTCGATTGATGCTGAGATGCCTAGACTAGAAAATAGACTTACTAAAGCTATTATAACATAATAAAATAACATATAACTAGAAAATTTATTCTAGTAACTGTACTAATTATTAATAGTCATTTAATTAAGCCCTTTAATAGATTGATTGAAAAAAATTTAACTCATTTAAACAAACATTTATCTTTTTTTGGAAATTATAATTAGGTCATTCATCAGGGAATATATTAGGGTCAAGATGTATTGAAAATATTCACATACATATAAGCAGGAATGCTGAAAATCTGAAGAAGTTTCTTTTTGATTCAAAATTTCCCCCAAAATGTAAAGATTTTCTTTAGTGCAATAACTTTTTTAAAATTGTTTTGGAAAATAAAGTTCATATGAGAAAAAAATTTTTTTTTGATTTTACACTATTCTTGAATAAACAAGCATATGTAAAAAATAATAGGAATAAAATTATATTGAACTAGTAGTGATTTATAAACTTAAAAATTTAAGGACCCACTTATAAACTTAAGGAATTCGCACTAATAAAAACACTAATCATTTTTTTCAGGATATATTAATGAATTTTTTAAGCTATTTTATTTTTAAATAAATTCCTTTTCTTCAAAGAATGCACCTTTAAATATTCATTTTTTCCTACTTTTCAGTTTCAATTATAGAAAGAAAAAAAAGCAAATTTTGCCACTATGTTAAATTTTTTGATTCTCTTTTAGTAATAAATTATTCCAATTGAGAGATCAATAAGTAATGGCATTTTGAGAAAGCTAACGGAAGAGTCTTATAATTTAAAGTGAAATTTGAGTATAAAAATGTTTTTTTTTTAATTTAATTTTTATTTTGATTAATATAACAATTCCTTAGAAAGGTAATTTTTATTGTGAAATCTATGATATTGAAAAAAGTTTCTGAAGTTATTTGTTAATGCTTAAAATTTAGTCTTTTTTCCCCAAAATTGTTCTGGCATGTCTAATAAAATTTTCTTAACGTGTTTTAGGTGACACAAATTCTAAATTCCTACGATTCCTTGGAATTGTCCCATAAAACAGCATTTTTAATTTGTAAAAAAAGTAACGATGAATGCTGTGTTTCCGAGCTCAAGCATTACAGAGAGATTAAAAATTCTTGTTCTCAGGTAATATAATTTTGAATTCTCTTTAACTGCATATTTTTCTGTGTGTTATTTTGAGTTGGTTTTATTTACCCAATTCCTTAGATTCTAGTTGGATTTACAGACCCATCTTCATTAGAAAAATATCCTGGCTGGCCTCTAAGAAATCTGTTAGCCCTAGTCGCTTACCATTGGTAAATTTATAATGTTAATTACTCTTTGTTAATTATTCATTTATTATTCAGTTTGATTGTATCTTAACATAATTTTATTTTCTATGTAAATTCTTGTAAAGATGAAATACAGTAGAGCCTCCTTCATCCAATTTCTAATTGGAATATTAAATAATATTTCCACTTATTGTTGCCTCACTGTCACAGATTTTTCTAATGAATTCCTTGTTTTTAAAACAACTCGCTTTATTCATCATTCAATAATGCATTCAAAACAATCACAGTTTATCTGTAATTATTACGGTTTCATAGTTAAGATTACGTTCTTACAAATAACAGTCATAAAAATTATGGTATTTGACATTTTTCTTAATAATCTTCTTTAAATACGTTTTTTCTTTCTTCATTCACTGCTAAAAATGATCTAATCTAAAGGGTCAGCGATCTTAAATCCTGAGTCAGTTAATCTACAATAATATTTTTCTACTCCTTAAATGATTCTGAACAATTTAATAAATAATTCCATTCAATTCAAAAACAATTTAATAGGAAAAAAATTCTGTTTAACAAGCTGTTCTGAAACTTAAGCTTAATTCCTCGTAGAAGAGCTAAAAGTTTTTAATGGTTTTAATGCTGAAGGGTAAAATGGCAATAAGCGATAGTTCCGATTTCGCTAAAAACTAGAGCACTGATTCCATGTAATCAATTTAATTTTATCATCATTATCATAGTTTGCCAGATAGCCCAATGTGGGCCAATGCCTTCCTCTAGAGATTTCTCCATTACGACTTCCGATTTATTCTTCTCATTAATTGCCACCTAATCAACCCATCTCAATCACGGCCTTCCCATTCCTTTCTTGTTCCAGTTTGTCTAAAAAGCAATATCTTGTTTATTACTTTTATATTAATGTTGTATACTTATATAGAATAAAGTAGTATAGACACCTTAAAATTTCATAAATTTAAATTTCTCGAACACTAACTGTAAATTTTTTGTTCTTCTAATTACTGTTAGTTAGTTTGGAAAGTTGGCCTTTCTGATTTACACATAATAATAGAATTCTTTGTGAAGAGAAAATTCTAATTTCAAACATTGCTTCATACGGCAATATGCATGTACACATTCAATGTGCATTGAATGTGCCTAACTTACTTTAAAATCATCAAACACTTTTAATAATTCTGAAACTTTTTAACTTCCATGAATTTGAAAATTTTGTAAAGAAAAAGAATTGTCTGTTGTGAACCTCATTTAGGCAAATATCAAAATGTAATAAATTATACCGAATTTTTAGGAAAATATTTCATATATATAGGAAATTTTATTGTTTTTGAAAACATTAAAAAACTTTAAGATTGTGACTTTAATAATTATGTTGAACACAAATTAATTTGTTACGGAAGTAACATTTGTTGTTACAGTTGCAACACTCAATAATTTGAAATTATGGATAAACTTTTACAAAATAGAAACTATAAGTATATAAAAGATAACAAATTGTAAATGACTTAATTTTAATAATTTTATGAACATATTTGATAAGCTAGAAAGAACTTTATTAACAAGTTTTGGAATAAATACTTTTTTGTACACTTTAATATAGGAAATGATTAGATAAAATTCCATTAAATATGAAATTCCCTTTTTTAATCATAAGAAGTAAATAATGCTCCTATTTTAATTGTGATGTACCATGGCATTTTAAGGAGTTGCAGCAACACGGTGACATTGTCGCAGAACATTGCTGAATTCCTGCAGAAAGATTTTTAATTTAGGTAATAAAAATTCTAATTTTCCTTTCAGCTCAAGTTTTACGAATTTTAACATGGCTTATTAAAGTCCCGATGTCTTTCATTGCTTAATTATTATTATTGATATTCTAATTTTTTTAGAATCCTGACATTTTTATGACACAAAATTTGAATCACATATTCAAGTAATCATTTTTTGACAGCCACGATTTGTGCCAATATCGTCATAAATCCAGTGTTTTGATCATTATTAATCCATAGTTATTGGCATGAACTTTCACATATTTTTTTTCAAACCCAATATTTCATGTAGTGTTATTATGAGAATCGCATTTCGAGTCATACACTTGATTATTCACTTCTTTCGTAAGTTTCCACTGTTATTGTTTTTGTTTTTTTTTAATTTTCTGTATTGGTGTTGATCAAGTATTGGGAAAAATTTGCCTTCGTCATGGAGAAGTTTTTGATAAAATTAAACCGCATTTTGCATTATATAAAGAGGAAACCCGCAAAAACCTCCCACAGGAATCTCGATGCAAAGGGATTCTAATCCATGAACCGTCTACCACTAAGGGGATATTTTATGTCGGCATTGTGGTCGGTGCGTTGCATGCCAATTAGAACCGACCAGCTTTTGCCAGGGTTCGAATCCGGTTTATCCCCTGATCCACCACGGCTCAATCACTAGTTTAAAGAAATTTTGAGAACTTTTGTAACTGTGTATTTTAATTTTGTTTTATTCAAAAATTGGAAGCCCATGCCAACTCCTTATCTTTTGCTTGTTTTGTCAGATCAGATAAAATTAAAAAGGAACAAACTGTCCATTAGTCGGGTTGATGTATGTTTCTCTTGTGACTAACGATTTTTTTAAAAATTATTGAATAATTTGGAAAAATGTTGAAAATAGTAAAAAGTAGTTAAAATTGTTGTTTAATTAAGAAGAAGCAACCGCCTAGAAGTCACTCTGAAATATGGAACAAAAATATATTCTTCTTCATTAGTTATTTATTTTTAAAAAATAAGCTTAATTGCATAAATATAAATCAACACCTGAAATTACTTTGTTGTAGGTCCAATGATCAAAAGGAGTGGGATGTATTGTGTTTTAGGACAAATGTTAGAGAAGGAAGGCGTCACTGTGAACATAGCATTATCATACCTATTCAATTGGATTCAACCTCTATTTCTGATGAAGGTCATTTAAGTACCTTAATTTTTATTTTAGAGTAGTAATTTAATTTTAATTGCAAAAAAACATGACAGGAGAAATTAAATGATAGAGAAATTAAAATTTTTGAATGTATTTAATTTTTATTTGATGATGATAATATTGTTGGGAGTAATTTTTTTTTTCCGTATATTGTTTAAATTTTTTGTGTGGATATTTTACCTTTAATATAGAATGCATATTTTAGTCATGCTTTTTGAATTAAACTTTATATTTTGACTTAATAGATAAAGGTAAAAATAACTTTGTAGAAAAATCATTTATACTAATGCTGTAAATGATATAACTCTAAAATATGATATTTTCACGTAAATTAACAAGCAAGGGCAGAAGAATCCCTCTTTAGCATGCACTATACATCATTGACATATTACTATGACATTTAGAAATTAAATATTTATTTTCATGTTATGGGTAAACTTATGTGTAAGAATTTTTTTAAAATTCCAGTTATTCTTTTTTATAAGAATATTATGGAATAAAAGTTTTTCATTCAATACTTTTTTGTGATTGCTTAAAATTTTATGTTCCAAATGTTATTTGTAGTCTTTAGTTTTGAATAAACTATAAAAACCTGGTTTAAATCAAAAGAACCAGATTTTCTTTGGTTAAAATCCAAAGAAATGCATTTTCCAACCCTGTGAATGTATAAATTATAACATCATGGTTAATCAGTATATAAAAATGTATGTATCTTAACAATTAAAAGCATAAAGTTTATTGCAATCATTGATAGATTTGATTACTGTAATTCAGACATTTTCGCACCTCTTAGAACTCCATATTTTTTATTTGAAACTTAATACTTAAAAACTTAACAGGATATTATATGTATCTTTGGAGTGTTTGAAAATTAAAATTTAATAAAAGGACAACAAAATGAATTAACTCTTTTAAAAAGTTCTGCTTGTTGTTCAATTATTCTATAAATGTTATCTAAAACAACCCATTTGTAATAGAAGCCACTTTACCTACATACTGTTAAATTTTTTAACAAATTGAATAAAAATTAATAAAAACTATTCAGTTTGAAAAACTTTGTTTTAAAGTAACACGTTTATGCTTTTAAAAATGTTATTCAATGTACATTTATTAATCCAATGCTTAGCACACCAAATCTTTTTTATCTTTAGAGTTTCAACTTTTACTTTCAGGAAAATGTTTTTAATGTGGTGGCAATTTGGGTAAAGTATAGTGGGATAATTGCCAAATTTAGTTCTAATGCATTTTTCAACTAATGCCAAATCATCACCAACACATACAAATAAAGTAAGATATCTGTCTGGAAATAATGATCACAAAGGGAGATAATTTACTTCAGCAATTTTAATGATGATTAACTCAATTATCAAGATTTACTCATTAAAATGAATTTGACCCTGTGGCATAATAAAATAAGGTCATGACAAATTATACTAAACTAAATCAACATGTGACAGACAGATTTGGAGAACATTTTAAAGAAAAGGAATTTCGCAGCTGAAGTCAATTGAATTTAAAGTCACTTATCTTGCACATGTGCTAGACTTGGCTTGAAATCTTGAGGAGCTGATAAACTATTTGTAGGTATCAGGTNATATATATATATCAAAAACCTCTTTTTCTAATCACCTTCCACCCAGCTCACCCTCTCTTCTTCACCTCTGTCCTGCCCCTCTTCTCAGGTTGTCCCTCCTTACCCAAAAATTGGCAGACTAAAACTGTTTATTTTATTCACCGAGAAGCTATCTCAGACAGTTTGGGCAGAAATAGGATGACTGATACTCATAAAAAGGAAAGAGAGTTGTAGCAACTCTACATTAATTATATAGAAAACAAAAATCTTTCCCCCTTTTTCTGTCGCAGTTATCTTTCTTTTCAAATCGAGAGGATATGATAATTAAATGGATAGTTTATTTATCATAATTTTTTTTAAATTTAATATTTGGATTAGTTTGTGTTTTTTGAAAATGCCTAATTAATTTCAAATCACAAATGAAACTTGTGGTTTTTAATTTTGTGATAAGTGAATAAGTTCTGTTTAAATATTTAAATTTTTTTATTTGTTTTGTAGATTGCCCTGATGTTGTTGGTTGGGAAAAGAATAAAAACAAACTTGCACCAAGAAAGGTTGACATGAGTGCTAATATGGACCCTAAAAAGTAACTATCTTCTCACTCACTTTTCTATTTTACTACTCATGGAGTGCATTTTCCCTTGCAGTTTGGAGGACCGAACTATTTTGAAGGGGGAAAAATGCTCAAAAACTGTATGTATGCTCGTACATCACTTATAAGGGCATTGAATAAAACTTTAATTGTTTCCATACTTAATGTAAATTTTCACTGTATTTTTTTGTAATTTTTCTTTATTGTTGCTTTTTGAAACATCACTGGGATTAATAAATATGTATTTTAATTTTAGAATATTATTTTTAAATCAATAAAAATCTTAATTATTATTTTATTAAAAAAAAAAAGATGAAGATTAACTTTGTTTGCTGATCCAAATACTTGAAAGAAACACTAAATTAGTGTGTTGTATGATTGAGTTTCTTATGTTATCAAATTAATATAATAAACATTTTGAACACATTTCCTCCCCCCCCCCTCCTCTACATTATAAGCATTTTGCAATATATGTGAAATTAGGTAAAATATTTTTAGAATATTCCCTTGCTGAATCATCCTTGTCGGTGGCTCGACAGCCCAAGGTGGGCCTTGGCCTTCTTAATAAGTTTTTCCTGCTAGCGTTTTCCAGTTTTTAATTTTTAAGACCAAAATTTCTTCTTCTCGTCCATCTATCCATTTTATAGTCCGCCCGCCCCTTTTCGTGTACCAACTGGTCTGGCATTGAAAACTGTTTTTGTGGTACAGCCTTTGTTAATAATGTCAGATTCATTATATGAGTGATAAAAGCTCTTAAGCTTGTTCTTCTAAGCCACACACCATTTTCTTTTAATTCCTCTAAAAACTAATTTTTTGAAAATGAATTTTGAATTCCTGGCTGAACAATCAATCTAAATATTGGGTGAACCTGACAACTCTATAAAGGACTGTAAAACTTCGGGTGAATCGGAAAATTCTGTTATAGTGCCAATAATGGAAAATAATGGCTCTTTGAACCCTTATTGACCTCGTGATTATGGGTCCAAGTTATTTTGCTGCTAGATTTTTTAGGATGTCTCATAATACGGTTACAAATATTTTACAGATTACAATTAATCTTATTAAAAAATATGAAATACTTTATTTCTATTTAATACTGTTTCTCTATATGAGGGTTCATTGATTTAAATCAGCTTGATTTAACCCACTAATGAGTCTGCACTTAAAAAGTCTTCTCTCATTGCTAAACCTTTCTTCCCTTTTGTTATATGAACATTCTTCCACCCATTTGCTAAGTGGATCAAATCATGATTTAAATCACTTTTTTTTTTAATTTTAAGAGTCACTAATTTAAAAAAAAAGAAGGAAGTTTTTTCTTATTTTTTTCAGACATTTAATGAGTAAAATTTAATACTACTTGAACTTATTTATCACTTATGCAAAATTAAATCAGTGTCTATAAAGCATTTTTGGGGGGAAGGTAGTTTACTTTCAAATTTATTATGCTGAGTGGCAACAGAATACTTTCCTTCCAAAGTGTTCTATTTCAATATCATTGAAATTGTGCTTTACTTGTCTTATCAAGTCTATTCTGTTATCAGATCTGCTCTCCATATCATACAAAAAGAGGGGGGGGGATTTTTGCTACAACCAAGTGTTAGAGCCTCCATTTCTTAGCTTATTTGGTTCATCTACATTTCTGAAATGAATATGAAAAGGAGAAACATTTTTGACTGAGCTCAGAAAAAAAGTAATAATCTAGTAACATTAATTATGAATTTCATATCAAGGGCAGATCTTTACTATATATTTTTGAGGAAGGTATTGTATCTCAAACCTTCATCATGGAATGCAAGATAAAATTCTAATTGTTACCAAGAGACAGAAGAAAAAGCAGTTGCTTACTTCTGCTGGCCGGTGTAACTTGTTTTTTTTTTTTTTTTTTTTTTTTTTTTTTTTTTTTTTTTTTTTTGTTGCATGGTTTAGTACACTAAAAGCTTTAAATTAAATTGGGAATTAAAGAGCCAAAAAAAAAATATGTTTTTCTACATGAATTCCATACTATTATTTTTAGAATATGTATGCTGTATGTTATTATATCTGAAGTTTTTGATTGTTTTTCTTTGAAGTTTCTTTACTTTTAATCAATATCAAGAAAGTGCATGCAAATTACTTTCATATTGTTTCCTGTATATTTTTCCAACAAAAATATCCTTTCTTGTTATTTAATTTTAGTGATTTCATTCATTCTTTTTCTCCTTCTGAATGTGTGTGTCTTAACCTTTGATAATCAGTAAACCAATAAATGTGTATGTATTTATTTAAATTGAACCATAATATTTTTTGTGGATATAGTGAACCTAAAGAAGAGAGGAAATTGGATATTGTGAACTTTTTTCTGTCTTCGACTGATTTTTTTTCTTCATTTTTTGGTAATTTTGAAATTTATACATAAAATATATACCGATTTTTTAAATCATTTATTGAGTGAAATGTAGCCGTAAGCATTTACAGGGCTCGAAAAAACTCAGAAATTTAACCCGTCATCGAGGACGGCTTGTCCAACGATGTATCTGTCCTCCTTTGAAACTAACCCGTCGCTTCTAAATAAATAAAAATTTAATTTTTTCTTATTTATTACAAACATTTATATAAATTACACAATGAATTAGTAGCTACTAGGATTACATTATGCAGTAATAAAAGAAATACTTGGTTACTAGTAGTAAAACCTAGTATTTCTTTTATGAAATAATTTATTTCTTTTATGAAATAATTAAAATGACAAAGGTCAAGTTATCTGGAATGTCAATTTATCCGAGGGTGCTGCGTTTTTTAAATGAATCAAATATGACATTTGCCAGTTCCACAATCAAGCCTATGATTTACAGAGGTTTCTGCATAGAAATCTGAAAGGAGTTTTCCATTTAGGTGGATTTTCATAATTGCGTTTAGTGCTTACGTAATGTGTTTTTTTGTAAGTTCATTGCTGAAAAGTCCCTTTCAACTGCTGCAGTACTCCCAGACGGAAAAAACATAAATCCACCATGCGTAGTATGTTGCTGTACGGGATTTCTAGATTAGAGGGTCATTTCAGAAGTGAGGTGCTAGACTCTTGTAAGATAACAAAAATTTAAAGTGTATCACGAACATTAACGGGAAAATGGCCGTCCGCGCGGACGTCTGATTCGAGAAATTAGTTGTCCGCGGGAAATTTTTGACCGCCGCGGACGGGAGGTTTTTCGAGCCCTGAGCATGGGTGCAAGTCTTCCGTCCCCAGGACGGATTTCCGTCTTTCGAAAATGTCCGCGGACGGAAGTAAGACGGAAACAAGACTGACTCGATGACGGAAATCGGAAATTTTTTTTTCTGTCCCTAAAAATATTTTTTAGGTCTACGTTATTGGTCTACTTTCTTATGTCCTGTTGTTATTTTATCAAAAGACAGATGAATAAATATTTTTTGTACAGTATTTAAACTTGATGTATTATGGTAAAGCTTTCTTAGATAGTTTGCATATGTCGAGGGGGTATTGTATATGTTAGGTATTTCAGTCAAAAAATTTTCAGTCTTGGCCTTTTTTCCAACTTGCACCCATGGCCCTGAGCATTTATTCTTGTTAGCTTCTTCTGTCTCAGTTTCCCATCCCTAATTTTTTTTGTTCGCAAGACGAAGAGCAATATATAAAATAAAAATGAACACATTTGTGTTACTACATATCGTTTTTTAATCATTTTAAATTTATTTTTATGGCTGATTTAGGTAAATTTATGGACCATTTTTGTATTTATTTTTATGGAGTTCGGAAAAATGAGTTAAAATTGTTTGCAGTACGGATATGGTGAACTTCTGGTTACAGTGAACTGAAATTTCGGTCTCTTGAAGGTTCACTAAAGCGGAACTTGACTGTATTTATTTATTTATTTTTTAATTTTTTTTCTTGCAGCAAAAAAAAAAAAAAAACATAAGTTGATGATTGTCAAGATTAATGATTTCTTTTCAGATTAGCCAATTCAGCTGTGGATCTGAATCTAAAGCTTATGAGATGGCGTCTTTCTCCTGATTTAAAGTTGGAAAAGATTCAATCATCAAGATGCCTTTTATTTGGAGCTGGCACTTTGGGTTGCAATGTTGCCAGGTGCTTAATGGTATACAACTCTTTTATCATTTGAAAGCAAAGTTTAATAATAAAATAGTTGCAGGGTATCCGCGCACCTGGAAAGTCATGAATTTCGGTATTGAACAAAATTTGTCATGAAATGTCATGATTTTTACTATTTTTTTAAAAGAAAATCATGGAAAGTCATGGATTTAGGTCTGCAAAAAATCTAATTTTTAAAATGGAATCTCCCTCCCCCCGATTTCATCCTGTTCCAAATATCTGAATTTCTAACAAAATCACCACTCAGTCATATTTTATTTGAATATAAAATGATTTTATCATGTTCTTTAAAAATTATGGTGTTCTTTCAAAAAATGAAAGAAAAAATATCATTTCTAGAGCGAATCATCCTTTAAACTCTCTTCTGTGATTTACGAATTTTTACTATTATTTTTTTTTAATTTTATCAATTTAAAATTCTAGTTGAAGCAAACCAGTCATTGGCAAATTTTTTTTATTTCGAAATGATCAGAAAAATCAGGAGTATTTCTTTCCTTTCTGATGAACAAGAAAAGTATCTTTAGAATATAATTCTGCAGAAAAAAAAAAATTTTGCTTTTGTATTTTTTTCAGCTATTTTATCGTTTCAACTCTTTCCTTACTCTGTTTTTTAAGTTTAAAATCTATAAATATGAAGATGAAGAGTATAATAGTTTTGGTTATACCTATTTTGAATGATTTTATTATAATGCTTTTTTTAATTTATTGTTGCGTTTTTGTTGGAGAAAATAGCAACTTCGTTAAGTCATGAAAAATTCTTGGAATTAGTCATGGAAAATCATGAATTTGAAAATCTAAAATGTAGCAGATGCCCTGTAGTTGCGATAGAGGTTGTTGCGAATTATTTAATTTTCTGTGGAAGTGATTTAAAGCAGATTTTTGTTAAAAAAAAATTTGCAGTTTAGAAACTTAAACAGTATCTCTATAACATAACACCATAAAATATTTTTAGGTGAAAATATCTTCCTCTTTCCGTCAGGCTAAACGCGGGAGGTTTTTGTAGATTTCTCTCCATGCAACACAAATGCGGGTTAGTTCCATCAAAAAGTCTTCTACAAAGGCAAATTTCTTCAAATACTTAATCCAGGAGCTCCCTTGTCTTCTAGATTCGGTTCAAAATTACAAGGCTACGAAGCTGAACATTAATAGTCGTAAACCCAAAAAATTGGGTCGACTGTTCGAAGACGCTTATAAAATATACAACATAATATGTATAAATAGTGTAGTTTTTAATTACAATCAACTCAGAGAATACTGACTTTTAAACTTCCGAAGTTTCTAAAATCTGGTAAATTTTTTTCCAACTGACCGCAAAACTAGAGACGAGATTCGGATATTCGTAATGTAATAATATTGTGTATTTGAAAATAGGGGTGCACAACCTGTGTCCTGCTAACTGTTGGTGTGTGTGGCCTGTAGTAGCTTCTAAACACAATATTAAAAAAAGAAGAAAATTTTAAAACAATTTGAACGTAACACATTTGATTAAACATTTGAGTAATAACTTTTTGATGCACTTAATTTGCACAGAGTCTATTGTAAATCTGTATTATTTCTAGATCGCTTTTTCAATGATTATTGCTACAAAATTCCACATGGTTTCAAAAAACCCAATATTTTTGTCATAAATACAAATGACATTCTGGTCTTTTTTTTTTGCATCCATAACTGTCGATTTCCATATGGTTTTTAAAATTCCAATGCATTCATTGCGATATTAAAACTTGTGAGCTATAAATTGTGCATTTACTTTATCTCCTTTTCCGTGTTTTGTTTGTGCCAACTTCATTTTAAAACTAAATGAGTTGTTGATTTTTTTAAAGGCAATTATTGCGATGCTTTTCAATGTGATTTGACTATCACATTATTTGAACTAGATTGTTATTGAGACTTGCAAGGTTTGGAAAGTCATAATAACAATCAAAAAGTCATAATAAATAATGACTTTTTGATACTATTTGAGCATATTTCATCATAAATATAAGTTTTTTTTTTTTTTTCTTAACACCATGCAATTGTATTAGGTATTTAGAATTCTGATATTTTAATGGAATGTGTAATTGCAACATGAAAAATTTTAAAACTTAAATTTTCAAACTGCTCATTTTTAATAATTTTGTTCTAAATTTTTTGTAACTTAGGTGATTGTTTCAAAGAAAAAGAAAACATTTCCTATTTAAAATTCATAAAGCCTCTAATAAATCAAGAAATAGAAGTAATATCTGAATTATTATACCAAATAAATATTGAATCTTATTTTGTGCTATAATGGTTTTGTTTTAAGTTTTTGTTTTTGTTTAAATCCTACAAATTTTCTTTCATTGAAATATTTAGTTCAAATTCATATTACTCATTAAAATATGTATTTTTTTTAACTCTTTCATTCAGGGAACTTTACAGTTTCTTATGTTAAGTAATTTATTTTTCATTTCTTCAAGATATATATATATATATANTATTGCGCTTAAGCTGCAAGTAAACAGAACTCATTAGATAAGTTCAAAATGAAGAATAAAACAAAAATTATAGACATATAAAAAGAAAGGGGGGGGTGAATGATAAGTAAAAAAAACAAACAATAGTTTATATAAATAAATAAAAATTAAAAAAAGAATGAAATTTTATTAAAAAAACCGGGGGGGGGGGAGATCTTTTCTTCAGCTCACACGACTATATCCGCAAAACAGAGTGTGAGCTGAAGAAAAGATTATATCTTTTTTTCTTCTTTTTTTTCCCGGTTTTTTTAATAAAATTTCATTCTTTTTTTATTTATTTTTTTATTTTTATTTATTTATATAAACTATTGTTTGTTTTTTTTACTTATTATTCACCCTCCCTTTCTTTTTATATGTCTATAATTTTTCTTTGTTTTATTCTTCATTTTGAACTTATATATATATACAGTGAAACTTCCTGTTAGGAACACTCCTAACAGACATATTTTAATTCCCTGTGAATTTTCTATAAATAAACCATAATGTACCTTCGTCGCGAAACAAACATTCCCCTTACCGGATGCGGACAGTCATTTATGCCCTGAAACATAATTTTCTATGACTACAAACTAGATAAGAATTTTTCAAAATTAAAAAAAAAAAAATTTTTTTTGCTTTAAATTCTAAGAAAAAAAATATACAACTCTCAACTATTTTTAATTTCCGCAACTAAACTATTTCACTACTAAAAAATCAATCATTCTTCTCTTTTATCTTTGCAAAGAAAGAACAGAAAAATAATCATGTGAAATATTTCAGACAGTGGCATCTTTTCATCCAGACGAAACTGGTTACGAGACCCCACTATCCTTTAAATGATCTCAATTTCTCTTGCCCAACAAAAAATTCCTATATTTAACAATGACATATATTTACAACAGACACTAACTTATTCTTATTTTCGATAATTATGTTGGTGGACATTTTTTTGATACTTTTGATCAAATTGATTGTTATTCTTCATACATAGGATCTATTAAAATGTATGAATTGTTTAGAAACAATTTAACAAAGGGATTTTTCTTGTATCAGGGATGTGATTCTTTCGCGGATTTCCGCTTTTTTTCAGATTTTTCCATTTTCCCCCCCTAATTTCCGCTGAAATTTTTTTTTTGCACAAGTTAAAATATTTTATGAGGAATTAAATTTTCAGCGAAGCGAAAGTATTGAAGTCCTCATTCCTCCCTCAAACATTGATTTTCGTATTTACCTGATTTAAAAGTTGAATGTTGCGATTCTTAATCAGGCGATTTAAATGTCGTACATTGCGATTCTTATTTACGAGATTTAAAAATCCAATATCGCGATTTGCAATTACGCGCTTTTAAAACCCTATGTAGCGATTTGTATTCATGCGAGCTTAAAATCCAATGTCGTGATTCGTTTTCGTAGTTGTAATATCAAACATCGATTTTCCTATTTATGCGTGCTTTAAAAATTAGACAGTGGGATTCGTATTCGCGCTATTTAAAAATTGGCATCGTGATTCGTATTTACGTGATCTAAAAATTACGCATCATGATTTGTATTTTCGCATTTTTTAAATTCGATATAATTCGCATTTTTTAAATTTTCATATTCACGTGATTTAAAAGCCTCATTTCGGGATTCATATTCTCTCAATTTAAAATCATGCATGTGATTCATATTTATATATTCATGCAATTTTAAAATTAATCATAGGGATTTATAATCACATGGTTTACAAGTTGAAAAATTACATTTTTTTGTCAAATTTTTGTGTATATATATATATATATATATATATACACAAAATGGCTTTATATCTATATATTCATATTCATTCGTGAATTTCCTCTTTTTTACTTTCCAACTACTCTCATCCCTGTTATATGTATCAAAGCTATAGAGAACATTATGCTGATTGATAAAAGGCATTAAAAGCATATTTTTTCTGTTAATTTTTTATTTTTATTAAAAAGCAAAATCTAGAGTTGGTATTTATTTTTTAGGGCTGGGGCGTGAAGAAAATCACGTTTGTTGATAACTCGAAAGTTTCTTTCTCCAATCCTGTTCGTCAGACACTTTTCACATTTGAGGATTGTCTTGGAGGTGGTCAATTTAAAGCTACAACTGCTTCAAAAGCGCTTCAAGGAATTTTTCCAGGCATTGTAAGTGTAAACTAGATTTAAAGTTTTCCATTTAATTTTACTGAAAAATTGATGCTGTGAAAATCTGTGGACTTTTTAATACTAGCATTACATTTTGTGAAGATTTAAGAGAGTTTTCTTTTTAACCATGGTGCATAGCATTGAAAAAAGAACTTTAAATGTGTTTATTTTTAGTTTGTAATTGGTGCTTATTTTTTCTCTTTTCAAAAAAGATTTTTTTCTCTTTTTTTTTTTTGCTCTGCAAATTATCTTTGTAAAATATGCAAAAGGTCTGTTTTTCAAAGCCGGGTCCTTTAAGCATAATCTGTTTCATCGTACTGTCATGCATATTGTGCGGATGCACCAATCAGTTCACATATTGAGAAAAACATAGGTGTGCACCATACACAAAATGAAAAAGATATCACCCTATGTAACTTTTGCTCTAATAATCAGATTTTAGAGTCAGTTTTAATGGTCCATAGGGATAAGTTATGAAATCAGACACGTTTTTTGTCTTTAAAAAAAAATGGCGTTAGTAGCCTTAATCTGGAAAATAGGATCCTAATAGTTTTGTCAAGAGAGTGTTTGGGGGGTTGAGCAGCTTAAAGTTAATCATTATATTACATTAATATATTGCTAATTTTAAGTTAATTATACTCATATTTTGCTATATCTCAGGAATTCTTATGGGTAATATTTGTTTGGCATGGTCAATAGGCAGCTTGTTGTTTCTAGCAAATTATAAAATAGTAAGTCATGGAAATTCAAAAAGAGAGAATTTTCTACTATTATTAAAGTTATTTTATTTTATTTTTGTAACCATAGAACAGCCGACCCAATTTTGGGTTTACGACTACTAATGTTCAACTCTGTAGCCTTGTAATTTTGAACCAATCCAGAAGACAAGGTAACTCCTGGATCAATACCCCTAGAGGTATGATTTGTTATGGGAACCTGGAGGACTTTTAAGACTCCAGCTTATTAAAATTATTTTATTTTATAACCGTCATTGAACAGCCGACCCAATTTTATGAGTTTACGACTACTAATGTTCAACTCCATAGCCTTGTAATTTTGAACCCAATCCAGAAGACAGGAACTCCTGGATCGAGTATTGGGTGAAATTTGCCTGGCTGGTAGGACACTGGGCCTATATCCAAACGGTCGTGAATTCGATCCCCGCCGGCCGTGTAGTAAATAGTGACTGATGGGCGTTGAATCTGTCGAGTCACAAAGTCCTCCATGTTTCCATTACAAATTATACATCTGGGAGTAGTACAGATCCAGGAATTTCTTTGTCTTCTGGATTGGTTCAAAATTACAAGGCTATGGAGTTGAACATTAGTGATCGTAAACCCAAAATTGGGTCGGCTACTCAACAACGGTTATAAAATAAAATAAGTACAATTAGAGACTTTGTGGATCAGCTGATACAGCACTTGCCTCCCAACGAGATGACCCTGGTTTGATTCTAGTGATGGCTGGATGATTCGAATTCCGCATCGATTCGAATCGTGGGCTAGAGTCCCCTCGTCGTCCGACTTACCGTTGGAGATTTTCGTGGTTTTTCTCTACATGTAACGCAAATGCTGGTTAGCGTCATCAAAAAGTCCTCCACGAAGGCAAATTTCTCCTAATACTTGATCCCTTAGTGTCCTTGAGTTTTGGATTGCGTTCAAAGTTACAAGGCTACAAATTTGAACTTAAATAGTCATAAACCCAATAAATTGTTGCTCAAGAACAGTTTTAAAAAATAAATAAGTACAATTCTCGGTATTAATGAAATATATTTTTATGAGACCACTCAAGAAAAAAATCTTATCAATTTCACTAATTACTTTCTTGCTAATTGTTTTTCTTTTAAGGACTCTGAAGGCTATGTTTTAAGTGTTCCTATGCCAGGGCACTCTGTACCTGAAAACAGTAAGTGACATCCTATTTAGCATCACTTTTGTGTCACTGCAAGCAATGCTTATTTTTAAAAAAGTTTTCTAATGCATGAATTATTTTGTTGTCAAAAATCACTTATTTTCAAACATTGTATGTATGATTCCAAATTGTATGAAAAGTGTGATTTTTCTCATCAGTTGCACATAATTTTCTATTCTGAGTAACTATATTTTTGCCTGGCTTTGATCTTTTGTTATGAAAAAGTTTTACACAAAAAAAACTACAAAATCTATATCAAGTTAATAATTTATGAGTGATTTTAAAATTTAAAAAAAAAAAAAAAGAATCAAGCTGTGGTTAATTTAGTATAAAGTTGGGAATGTTCTATTTCATGGTAAAAATAAATCCTTAATTATCGTCTTTATTTTTCAATTTTCCAAAGCCTTGATAAACTATCAAAGGCTAACTTACTTAACCGTCTCAATTAGCATATAATTATTTAATGTATTTTTCACCTATCATATTTTTGCATAGATATTTGTATTAAAAAAAAGAAACACTTAGTGTTATTATCCTGTTATTTTGTCTTTTTAATGAAATATAACATTGTTTTGTTGAAATGAGTCCACTCAGATGGATGGGTACACCAGTTGGCTGTGTGCAATGCTGATCAATAATCATGTTGTTGAAGCTGTCTCAATTGTAGAGCCTTAACACTCCTCTGGCCCACAATGAAGTTCTGTTATGCTATTTTATCATCCCCTTTGTTGCGGGAAGGTTCTGCTTTTCACTGTCAAAATTAATTTAGTTTTTCTTTAGTAATGAGTAAATATTTATGACATTTTGTAATGTTGTGACATTTTGAATATTTCATAATTTTTTGTAAGGAGCAAATAGTTTTGATGTTTAAAAGGAATAAATATTTAAGGTATTTTGTAACAAGTAAAAAGAAAGCTTTTGCATATTTATCTTATATTAACAGTAACGCTAACTTTATTTTCTATTTTTGGGGGTTATTAATGGGGACATTTTCGTGCATCCATTTTGAAGCTCAAATAGCGTTAGAGTTAGGGAGAGTCATAAATGCTAGAGTGATTGTCCTCCAGGGGTACCCAAGACTTCCGGATTTAATAACTGGAAGCGGGGTGTGCTGGTTTTGCTCGATGGAATTCCTCATATCTCAAGATAATTGATTCACAGACTTACGTGGCTTATAATCCCGCAAAATTTTGAAGCTTGTCTAAGTCCTGTTAACGAGGCGTTTACATACATTCTTCCACCCATTGCATGAAGAATTACATGTCATGTGATTCTTCCGCCAATTTGATTGGTAGGAAATTCGCTATTTTGAATACTTGGAACTGTGCCGGAATCTGCTATTATCGCAATTCTTATTCACACGATTTTAATAACAATTTTTGCGCACAAAATTTTCATTGTTTTTCACTTTGTCGCACAATCACCCCTGTAAAACTTCTTTTTGTTCTATTTCTGTGCATTCAGACTTACTAATGGCATTTCAGTAACTCATCATTTTTAGTTTGGAGTTTGAGCATTCGCTGTGCCATAGTGACGGTTTATATTAAATAGTGGTATTTAAAGACTTGTTGCAATAAACTTAAATAAATTACGCGTGATTAAGTACTTTTTACCGAAACATGGTGTCGTGATAATGTTGAAATTTTTTACTTGTTGCTTTTGATTAGTAAAGTGATGGTGATATTTTAAAGAGACCCTTTTTTAATAACCTTCCAACACTTTCACAAAATTCAAATAATAAACTATCTAATCAGGATTTTAATGAGCTTTCTTGTAGCTAATAAATATTTTAATAATTATTTATTTGCAAAAAATGAGTATTTCTTTGCATTTCAGTGGTGGATCAAACAAAGTTAGATGTGTCCAAAATTGAAGAATTGGTAGAGAATCATGATGTTATCTTTCTCCTGATGGATTCTCGTGAGAGTCGTTGGTTGCCTTCTTTGCTTGCAGCTCACAGAGGAAAAGTAAGTTTTTTTCATTCCATTTCCATAATTGGATATTTGTTTTTCATTGGTCTGCATATGGTTCTTCTGAAACATTGTGCCTTCAGACATCTAAGAGTTTCTTCAACACCATTTATCCTCTTAAAATTAGAAATGAAACAATATTAGACAAAAGCAAACCTAAGATTAAATCAATGAAAGATTCTGCGGAGAGAAGGCACGTTTCCTTTTCTTTGACTCCTGATGAAAGGATATACCAAGAATGACTTGGAAGAGAAGATTGAAGGTGCACAATGATAAATATAAATGTTTAAATATAAATGTTCTGCTTTTATAAAGAAATAAGATCAGAAGATTGTTTATTAATATTAAATATACAATTATTTATTATTAAAAGCAGGCAATTTATGAAGCAGATTGCAGCTTTCTCTTTTTAAAAGTGATATATATCTGATTTTTTTTTTTTTTTTTTTTTTTTTTTTTTTTTTTTTAGTGAACAATAAATAAGTTCTTTTTCATGAATTTTAAGACTTTTTTTTAATTCAGTTGATTTCCTTATGTCCTGCCTTTTCCTGGTTTTCAATTTTTATTTTAGAGGTTTTATGTTAACTATCATTTCTGTTTGGTAATTATTGTTGAGTTGCAAAGTGTTCTTTTTATTTATTGTGATTAATAAGTTTTCCTTACACATTATCATTTTCTTTTTCACTTATAATTAGATATGAAATATATTGTGATTTTTAATCAATTGTTTTATTTTATATTAGTTAATTTTATATTAGTTAATTTTGTAATTTTATTAAATCTTTACTTTTTATAATTTGTCTTCACTTCAATTAAATAAATTTCTTCAGTATTTATTATAGTTTAGTATTTATCATTGGAATAAGTTTTTTTTATTATTAATTTTGCAGTTTTATCATCATTTATATTTTTCTATGTTTTTATCCATCTTATTTATGATTCATTTCTTTAAGCATATTGTATTTGTGCTTACAGTACCGCTCAAAAGTATCAGTACATCTGGAAACTTATAAAAAAAAATGGCAAAATTCAAAGTGTCATAACTTCTTTAAAAATGATCAAAAATGCTTCTGCTTTAGCTCATTTTGAAGCTTAAAATCTCTACTTTTATGTACTCTAATTGTTTTTAATTAATATATTTTGCAACTGTGTACAATTACACTCTAAACAATCATAGAAAATTGTATTAGTTTTTTGTGAAGTTTGACGCGATGTAAGGGCACAAAGGGGTTAGATATTGTTAATTTTTATCATACCATTGAAAAATTTGGACTTATAGCTTTCATTTAAAAAAAAAAAATTCCAAAAAAACATGTTTTTTGACGAAGTTATTGTCAAATAAAAAAAAAAGTTTTTTTTTTCAGAATTTAATGATTTTTCAGCAATTATAATGAATTTTAGTGTAATTATAATATGATATGTAAATTTTTTAATTAAAATAAATTAAAATTTAATATTTCTCGATAATATTATTTCATAATTTATTATAACAATTTGAACTTTTTTTTTTGGAAAATATAATAATGAAATAAGAATCAACGTTTACAATTTAATATTTTGAAATTTATTTTTTCGTATTTTTCTCAGAAAAAATTTGAAAACAAAAATGTACATACATTTTTGTTTTCAAATTTTCACAAAATCTGCTTAAAGAAAAGGATATAATATAAAATAAAGAAGAATTCAATGGTTTAGACCCATGGAGACAATTATAGACAACCAACATGCAAATATCTATATATCTTTAAGACAATGGCAGGTCAACAAAACTTGGAAAAGCGATGGATTAATAATAAGATTCAAGTTTTTGAAAGGAGGTTCAACATGGACCCCTACCAGCTAGTCTGTGATAAAACATTTATTTTTAATCAAAAGTGATCATTATGTTCCGACTTGTAACGTTGAAGTAGTTGCAAAAATTAAGAATAAAATTTCCACTCTTTTGAATATTTTCAACCAATTGATTTTATTACAGTTAAGTATTGTTGTTTCAGCTTGTGATTAATGCTGCCCTTGGATTTGATACATTTCTTGTAATGAGGCATGGCTTAAAGCTTCCAAATACTTCTGGCGGTGATATTGGCTCAAAGATAATTGAAGGCTATGACCTTGGCTGTTACTTTTGCAATGATATTGTCGCTCCAGGAAATGTAAGTATCTATCTGTGTGTAAGTTTCAGGGTTGTAGTAGCCCCATCTATCATCGCTGATTTTATCAATAGTTTATGTAATCTGTAATTTTTTTTATGTTTTTAAATTTTTTTTATGTTTTAAAGTTTCTCTAAACTGTAAACAGTGACTGACATTATTAAAAGTAGTGAATGTTACATTATGAACTGTATGAGTGGTAGTGCTGAATTTAAAAAGTTTGTTCTTGATTACCTCTTATTATTTCAAGTCTGTGGGGTTTGGAAACTAGTGGCTTGTATAGCCTACCGATATAACAACACTGCTTATATTTAAGTTCAAATAAGAGTGTTTCTGTATACTTAAATTGACACTATGTTATTTTTTGATGTTTAAAAATTCAAATTAATTTAAGCAACAAATTAGTTGATAGAATCGATCACGGGCAGCCGTTAATCTACACATTACCTAGGTAAAATGGGGAAAACTCTTGATTCCTCTCTTTAACAGATAACCTTCGTTAATCGACAAGCCACACCAGGATAATACAGGGAATTTAAAAAATCACCCAAAATAACACTGAATTTTGATTCTTTCTTTACAAACTGAGAAAATACAGGGAATTTTGTTTCTTATTTTCGTTTTTTAAAAAATGTTGATTACTTAAAATATTACCTATGGGATATTTAAGCATGATATTTCATTAGCTATAGATTATTTAAGTATGTTCAGCCATTCCTTTTTCCAGCAATTAAAACCAATAACTATACTTAGCCCAATATAGCTCACACATGATAACACATTAATTGTTGTGTTTCCTCTTAATATATTGTGTATAATATGTACTGAGAAAACGCAGGGAATTTTTTTCCAGATTAGGCATCCCTTAAATGGTAAAAAATTGAAAAGTATTGTACTCATTTTGTAATAACTGTTTTTTTTAGCATTTAATTACTTTATAAAATTGAGTTTGTGCTTACTTTTGAGACTTAAATTTTTCTTCATGTCCCATAAAAAGATAAACCAAAATAATTCTACTTGAAACAGTTTACAGCGAAGATAAGAAAAATATATTTTAACTTAAACTTAAGGCAAAATTATCACAAGTGAAATATTTACGCAAAGGGGAATTAAATGGTGGGGGAGGAGCTAAAGTTTTATTCTGTCAGCATCATCCTGTGAAATAAAGAGTTCATCAAGGTGATTAAGATAGTTTTGGTTATAGTTAAGAGTTTGACGCTCATTACAAATTGAATTTTAAAAAAACTTTCTTTAATGTAGATAATTCGAACGTAATGGGTATTAAACCAAATACAGTTTGAAACAAAAGTTTTTATAGCACTTCAGGTTTTTTTTAAAAATATGCACATAAAATGTTGCAATTTTTAAGGTTTTCTTGCTAAAAAATGTGAGGTTACAAAACTAATGTGTTTTTATTCTTAGATTTGAATATTTCTGGAAAATAGTGTCATTTTTGACAATGTGCATGTTCCTGACGTTCTTAAAATGCTGAAGTGCGTGTTGTCTATTTCTGCTCATTGTGCAGTTAAAAGTGTCTCTCCTATTTTTAGTACAGATTCTCATTTTCTATAAAAATAAAAAAAAAGGTTTTATTTTTTGTATTGAATTCTACACTCAATTCGAGATTACTTGAACTGCACTTGTTTTATTATCAGGAATTATTAAGCATTTTATTATCAGGAATGGATCCCCCATCTAGTTCCCATTAAAATATTACAGGCTCTGATATTTTTGCTGAATAAAATGTTGTCATTATTATATCAAAATAATGTCACCTAAAGTATTTTAAACGTAAATAAATAAATTTATTATGCATTATATAAGGAAGCAATTATTTCTATAAATATAAATAAGTAAAATTAATGTATCGAAGTAAATATAATTTTACATTTTTAATATTATCTAAGCAGTTACTAAATTACATATCTGCCAACTTTTAATCCCTTCCATTATGATTTTCCCCAGTGATATTAAAATGGAATAAATATTTCAATTTTAAGCAAAAAAATACGTTGTATTTGAAAAAGTTTAAGCTGCCTACTATGATAGTAACACATATTAATATATATGCTTATTTTTTTTCAGAATAGTGGTGATAAAAATCATTTAAAAATTTAATTAATAAAAGGAAAAATAGTATATATTTGCTACCACTTTAAATACAGTAGAGCCTCGATTAACCGAGCTTCGATTAACCGAGGTTTCTGTTAACCGAGGCAAAAACGAAGTCTAAATTTTTTTTTCTCCTCTTCAAAATGAGCTTGGAAGAAATTATACACATATTAGTCCGTTGTCCGTGTTACAGGCACTTATTCCCCACAAAAGCACTCAACTTCCATGAAATATTACACCCTGAGAAGACAACATCCATGAATGCTTTGTTAACAGTGGTCATGTGACTTGTAAGTTTAATCATGTAAATTTTAAAAATACAATATTTTCTTGAGATTTGTGATATTTTTGAAAATGCGTCTTTCGATATTTAACTAAGTATAGTTAAAAAAAATTCCATTTTACTTTTCAAAATTTACTACTAGAGTTGATTTCCTTTTAAGTCTTTTTAACTGTGAAACATAAGTTCATATATGTTGATTTTTATCATTTAAAAAACGTTCTATTGTTTTTTACTTTAAAAGTAGTTAAATTCGCTAGCACGGAAGGTTTTTATACATGGTTCCTATTAACCGAGATTTCCGATATCCGAGGTACTAGCGGTCCCAATTAGCTCGGATAATCAAGGTCTTACTGTATAAAAATAAAATTTTACGCCAAATGCGTAAAAGTTGGCAGGTATGAAATTATCATTTGCAGAGCAAAGTGGGGACCCCGCTTCAATTTTCTGTTTCCTGTATTGACATGTTTTTTTTTTATGATTCTATTATTGACTATCGGTATGATGGATGACACATTCTTACTGACCCTCTTTTAATTAAGCTATATTTCTACACAGAAACCAAACTTTTTAAATTGTTAAAGTTTTCTTTTTTTTAAAAAAAAGAAAGCAATATGTTGTTTCACGTCATGCATGTTTCTAATGATTGACTTTTTGCAGAGTCTTCAAGACAGAACCTTGGATCAACAGTGTACTGTTACCAGACCGGGGGTCTCTTATTTGGCTGCTGCTTTGGCTGTCGAACTCATGGTTTCTGTTTTACAACATCCAAAAGGGTAAAATTTATTCTGAAAAAGCATTGTTGTTGTTGATTTGACGCAGTAGCGTGGGTGCCACTCTTCGTTCCCGGGGGACTGAAATCAGTCAGTGGGAAAATTAAGTGGATTGAGTACTGTCTCTTAATCCTATCAAATAATGAAACTGATTGACACAAATTCAGAAAAGGACATAATAAGAAAACAACTTTTAAAATAAGTCAAAATGGAAAAATTGTTAAAAGCAACTAAAACCAAATTTGTCTTATTTTAATAATTAAGAAAGTTTGAAACACAAGTCAGGTGAAAAACGAAGAATTTTAAAAATATATGCTGTTAGCAAAGCAGCACTTCATCAGGGAACACGCTATCGGCCAACGTACAGAAGCCTTTCTGTGGTCAGTGAAAAAACTAAAAACTGACTGTGTCCCGAGGCCCCATAATGGATAAACGAAATAAGAATAAGCAGTTAAGGCCCACATAAATAGGCCTATGCAGTGAAATGTAGGATTTTTTGTCCCTAAAGCATATAGATGGCAGCACTTTTTTAAAATTTTACTCTGAATGTTTTTCCTTTTTTTAAAAAAATCAAGGGGCCAGCAATTGATTTATTTCATAAAGTTTTTAAAGATTTGGCAATTCATATTTTATATTGATTTGGTTATTCTAACTTTAACTTTATATCTTATTTATTTTTCTTATAAGCGGGCATTTTATCATTAGATCTTACTCTATGTACGTTTGGATTGCGTATGTATTTCATTAATTTTTCATTACATTTACAATTTATTGCTAATATAGTGCATGGTGCGTAGCGTTTTTAAAAAGTGCTTAAAGGTGCTTATTTCCGATTTTCGTTTTTAAAAGCCATTAAAGGTGCTTTTTTCATTAGAATATTTTTAAAAAGTGCTTAATTTTCCCTTTTCGAAAATGAGATTTTTTTTCTTTACCATGTCGTTTGTCGCCACGTATTATGCAAAAGCATGCTTTTTACATTGTTCTATTCAATGTTTTCACAATTTGTTTCAACCAGAATTCAGTTCGACCTACCGTCGGTACTTAGCGTATGAAAGCACCAATCATTTTACATGTTTGATGAAATATTTGCGAGTACGCATGTGCGTCTACTGAGCTGAGTTCGATGAGATTATTGCCTTCTCATATGCAATTCTGCTGCATTTTGCAAGATATTCTCCATTTTAGGCTTTTTTTTTCCACCCTCTGAAATCGAACCCAAAGATGTCTCAATCTTTTTATGGTGGCTAATGTAATCAAGAAAAGAGTGCTTTGTCAAAAACTAGTTGTTTTATAATGATCCTGTAAAGTTTTTGAAAATAAGTTTGCATTTTGTTAATGCTTAAAAATATTTTTTGAGTGCTTAAAAAAGTACTTAAAAGGTGCTTATTTTTTATTGAAAGATTTGGCTACTGTTCATGTAGAATGGTGTTGTTAATGTAGAGATTATTTTGTTCATGCATGATGGTTGTTTCTGTATATGTAGGGGACATGTTGCTGCCAGCACCATTGATATCCCGAACACTTTTGATCCAGAGCTGTCGACTGACCTCGGATTGGTTCCGCATCAAATCCGAGGATACCTGGACAGATTTCAAAACACGTTGCTTACCAGTAAAGCATTTGACTGTTGTACAGCCTGTTCTAATAAGGTGATGTGTATTTATATAATTATCTACATTCATTCTCATACTATGGGTCGTAGTTTTCTTCCTTTACACTGAGACTAAAATTCTAAAAAAAATAATTTTTTAAATATATTTTTTAAACATTGTACTCTTTCTGTTTCGCATCCATCCTTTTTTTTTTTGTTTCTGCTCTAATAATGATGATCCTCCTTGTAGCAGAATAGTTTCGAGCAATTTGCGAAAAATTTCTCAAATGCTAACATCTTTCTGCAAGATATTTTTAATAATGACAAACACATATCAGGGTTCTGTTTAGAAGAAATTTGGGTCCGTTAACGAACCCTTCACAAAATAATATATCTTTTAATCGGACCCTTCACAAATTTGTTTATCTTCTTTATTGTTTTATTAATCGAATAAACCCTTCCCGGGGCGGGGGGAGTTTAAGACAAAGGGGAATAAAAAGTTATTATTTAGATTATATTCGTAGTATATTTATAGTTATTTATATATTATTCGTGCATAAATATTATTATATCTTATTAGCATTCAATGTAACTTCTGTTGAAAGATTGAATTTAAAGTGTTTTAACTGTTTATTTTTTTAATATAAATCATGAGTAGGGGATATAATTCATGAGAAGGGTAGTACCAGCTCTTAATGGAATAGATCAGCATTACCAACATTGAACAGAAGATTCATGTATTTGCTGTTTTTATTTTCATTTGTATAAAGTCAATCCTGGATCTCTATTTTGTTGATGAAACTACTGTTTGGGATATAATTATTTTCTTAATGTAAATTATTCATTATTGAAATTTTGCCCACCCGTTATTTAAACTAAAATTATTCAGAACCTGTTGGGCTATGCAATTGTTTAGCATAAGTTTTAGGTTTACTAAAATGTTGTGTTGAATATTGGCACGTATTCCCTAGCAAAATTAGCTGAGAATCTATAACTGGGTCCTGAGTAATAACTAAGAAATGAAAATTTGCCCTTCTCAAATATATGTATGCAATGGGAAGAAATAGGATCCATTTCAATAAACACTCCTACCCAACTTTTACTCAAGACTTTAAGGATTCATCGTGGGTTTAAAAATGTTTCACAGTAGTTAACAATTTAGCTCTTGTGTAACAATTGTCTAACAATGTAAACAGTTTAGCTCTTTAAAGACTAGGTGGCCCGAAGTGATCTAGACCACTTAACGGCCTTCTCGGGTCCATTGGGGCCACTGAAGGGTGCATGGGTAGTAGCGATTTGGATGGGATAAACTGCTTGACAGTGATGTATAGAAACTCATTAAAAGGAAAAAGGTGTGCAAATTTCACGCTTCATTTAGGAACATTTCCCCCTGTGGTAAACAAATGTGTTCGTTACTTTGAGAAAGTTGATTTTTTAACACATTTTTTAGATTAAATATTATTATCTTTGTATGATATAGGCATTTAAAAATCAGTTTTAAGAAAAAATAATCCCAAACTTAAAAAAATTAATAAAAAATAAATAAATATTTAATTATAAAGGAGATATGGAAAAAAAATATAAAAATCTTATTTACTTTATTCCCGCTTTTAAACATTTAACCAGAAAAACGTCTTAAAGGGGGGGGAATAAGTGATGTTCACAAGCCGATTGAATGCCAACAAGTTCAACTTTCAAGAAGAGCACGTCTTTGATTTATTAGTGACGTGGGGGAGACTTGCCTACTGTGAAGCAAATAAATGACCAAAGAGAACACCAGACAAAATGGGTGAGTTCATTTGCAATTGAATTAACGGTGGTAAATTTTCCTCTGCTTGGGTTGTTAAGGGAGAGAAAAATCATTCATTTCTGGGTTTCCTGATCTTGAGTACAGGGATTTTATTTTTATTTGCATAGTTAAATGTCATCAAAAAGAGAAATAACTGTATAGATATTTATTCTACTTTCTTTAATATTAATTTAATGAAACTCAACTTAAATTTAGATAACATAAAGTTTTTATGTATATGTAATTTTTTAAGGACCTTATATATGCAACGTGTATATTAGATGAAGCAAAATTTATATAGTAAAAATCTCTGTCTTATTGCTTTGAGGTCGCAGAAAAATTTGGATGTATGAAGGTGGTGTTCACTTTGTGAATTCAGCTACCAGATGATAATGAATTTGCTTTGCGGGCCATTTTTATTTTTCATGTACATACATGAATATTTCATTCGTTAATTTAGGTTATAGAGGAATACAATAAAGAAGGATTTAGCTTTCTTCTCAAAGTGTTGAATGATCCCTGTCACCTGGAAGAAATCACTGGATTAACTAAATTGATGACTACCATTAGCATGGATGAGGTAATTTTATCTAATTTTTCGCAGTCATTAAAATGTATGACTTAAATTTTAGAAAATCAAATTTAAACCAAATAATAGGATTTTTTTTTAATATATCGTGATTAGGACTGGGCGATATTAGAAATTATATATCGTGATATATCGTCAGTTTTGCATCGCGATATAGCGATGTATCGCGATATAGTATTTTTGAATTTCATTTACTTTAAGGCACAGAAAGTCAGATTTCTATCAAGACTTCATACGCATATTGATTTAAATCAATTTATAAATTTGAAAATATATATGTTTTGCTAAAGAAAGATATTAAATAAATTGACTAAGATGTACAAATCTTACTTAAAATATTTATTGAAAAAATGTGTGTAGATACAGAATGAAATATTTGCACTTCTTTATCGTTTATAAGGTATAAGCAGTCTTAATTTAAGTTAACCCCTAAAACACCCTTAATGAAAAAAAATATTGTTATTAAACAAAAGCTGATTTTAAAATTTCAAAATATATTTTAATTAAAATAAAAGTTAGATTGACTAAAAGCCGAAGTTTAAAATTAAAAATGTTCGAATTTTAAACTAAAAAGTAAACATAAGATTTGTAATAATTTCTTAAAATTTTCGTTCTCTGAAAGATTTCTCAGTTTAAAAATAAAAAGGGAATTTTATAAAGATATCTAGCTGAAATTATTGAAAGAAAATTTAAAAAATTAAAAAAAAAGTTTGTTAAGAAATTCATTATACACTTAAAACAAAGTGTTAAAAAAATTTTTTTTTTTTTAAAAAAAGAAACTTTTTTTAACAAATCAATATTTGCTTGTACTATTATGCGTAAATAATTACAGAATTATTAAGTTCGATCGTAATGTTCAAATTCTTAATGAAGAAGTAAACACAAGTTTTGTTATATTTTCTAAAAATGATCACGCAAATAACAAAAGATTTCTTAGTTTAAAAATAAAAAAATAAATAAAAGTGAAATTTATCAATATATTTACCTAACAGCATAGGAACAAAATTTAAAAAATAAGTTCGTTAAAAAATTATTTGTATGCTTAAAACAAAGAGCTAAATAAATTTTAAAAAAAAAATGCTTCTTAAACACTATTTTTATTATTATTTCATATAAATAATTAAATTAAATTAAATAATGACCGAATTATGAACGAAAAACAAAGTAAGGCAAAGTTTCTTAATTAAATTCTTAAAAATAAAAACAAAAGAATTGTGATATTCGGTAATATATTTAGCTAATTAACTAATAATATAAAACGAAAATTAAAAAAAAATAATGATTTTACTCTCTAATAAAACGAAGTAGTAATTGAAAAAAAAAAAAAAAGAAATGAATAAAATTCGCAAACTTTTCAAATTCTTTTGAACAAATAAAGTTTATTGACTTATGTCCAAAAAATAAGTTTTGTTTTAACTTTATTTCTAAAAATAAAAACAACTCAAGATTTATAAATTTAAAATCAGTAATAGAAGCCCATTAAATTATTAGAAGTTTTATCCGAAAGGTTTTTAATAAATTAAAAGAAAGTAAAAAAATAACCTAACAAATTTATTTACTTTGTAATTTAATTCCTTATGGGTGCCTTAAATTAGATTTCCGATAATTTTCACATTTAAAAATATAAAAAAAGTTTTGTCAGAAAATAAATAAAAAACTTACCTAATTAATGAAGAAACTTTTCTTTATAAATTCTTTTCAATAATAGATTGCGTTCAGAACAAGGTTACGACGGCGATCACGAAGTTAATCCCATTGAAAATAATCTACAAGAAACGATTTCAAATCGCGAAGGTGCGAAAACGAACATGTGATATAACGATATAAGGTCTCAAAAGTGATTCTGATTCTACCGCTCATCAGTCAAGGCCGTCTCAACATAACGAAACAATATCGTCTTCCACAGCGCGAGTTGGCATCGGAACGTAAGAGAAAGTCCTTGCGTGTATCGCTATATCGTTATATCGTCTTCTTCACTCGACGGCTTAAATCAGTTTTCAGATGCATCGCTTGGAATGAAAGTTGCTGTATCGGTTTGCCGATATAGGCGTTAAATCGATATGTCGCGATACATCGATTTATAGCCCAGTCCTAATCGTGATACTAAAAAAAATTGGATTTAAAAAAAGAAACGTTTCTTGTCTTGGAGAGGATATATTTTTGCTATCCTTACTAGCTGATGACTGTATTGTATAAGAAAAAAAAATTGAAAAGAAATTCTGATCAAAATGAAAGAGCTCTTTAACTGCTTTCTTTACCAATTTTTTTGGGGGAAAAAATCATATTTTTTTATTTCATTAATCAATACAAGAAACTAAAACAAAACATAATACACAAGCTCTAAGTTGACATTTTATATGTTTATGTGTACGTTATGTGTATGTTATCAGGGGTCTGTCAAGGCCGAATTTACTACCGTTTAGCGGTACCTTCACAAATTCAACTTTAGGAAAAACGGCAGTTTCACAAATTCAATTTTAGGAGAAACGGTAGTTTCACAAAATACTTTTTCTTAAAATTTTATTTTTGTATCCCTTAAGAAACCATAAGTCCATATTTTTGTGTTGATTTTTTAACATATTTTTTAATTTTTCACAAATGATATCTAAATTTTCACAAAATAGGTACCTCTCAGAAAACCCTAGACAGACCCCTGGTTATGTGTATGTTATGTTTATATGTTATGTGTATGTTATGTTTATCTGACAGCTACGAAACAAGGTGACCCCACGACAAGTGCTTGGAATATTTCTTCCCTAAGCCAAAGTACATAAGAGGTTTACTACCTGTCTGAGCTTCAATGCTTAGATTCAACGGGAGTAGCCAAAGTAAGCTCCCAAGAGAAGCCATGGGAATGATCCTGAAACAGCCCGACAAGGGCTACACAGACCATTTTTTGTAGTCTGTTAAGACTAAACCTGAAGGATATCATCCTAGTCCTAAACCACCAGACAATATCGCCATATGTGACAACAGGAGCGGCAATGGCTCGGAGGATTGAGCATTCGCCTTCCAATGAGGTGAACTCTGGCTGGTCGATACGAATTCCACATCTGGCTTGCACCGACCACGGTGCTGATGTGAAATATGCTTAGTGGTAGATGGATCATGGGTTAGAGTCCTGTTGCCGTCAGACTAACCGTGGGAGGTTCTCATGGTCTTCCTCCCCATGTAACACAAATGCGGGTTAGTTCCATCAAAAAGTCCTCCATGAAGGCCCTTGTCTTCTAGACTGGGTTCAAAATGATAAGGCTACATAATTTAACATCTGTAGTCGTAAACCCAAAAATTGGGTCGACTGTTCAACGACGATTATAAAATGGGACTTATAATCATTGCATCCAGTAAACTATTTTGGGGGATAATCCCCAGGTATCTCGCAACATTTCTGCAAAACCAGAATATTTTCTTGGCCCTGTGGGTACAATATCCTGGATGATAACCCCTAGAAACTTGACTTTCTCAGTGAGTTCCAACCTATAATCAAGGAAATACAAATTTTCTCTAGATTAAGACTCCTTTTCGTCGTGAAGGCAGCAAGACTAATCTTGGAAGGGTTAACAGATTCAGAGCACCATGTAGCTATTTCTAAAAGTGCACCAGTCATGATTTCAGTGACTGTTTTGCTATACATGCCTTTGACAACAATAGCAACATCAGCACAGGGTGATTTATGGGACTTAAAAGATTTTCCATGGGAGATCGCCATCTTCGGACAATTAAAACTAGTAAATTTAGACTAATATAGGCCACTCAAGAGTATAGGGATTGTGTGTTTATTTTTAATATATTATGTACAGGGAATTTTTTTTCTCCAGATTTGAGTGCCAACCCTTTATCAGTATGCATTTTATTTTCTAAACTGATGGATTGTCTTTGTACATTTTATATAATAAAATTTTAATGTGTATTAACTTTATTTTTAATGTCCTATTATGTACTTTTGAATTTATTACACTGACTAAAAATTGTGTAGCAACTACTTGAAAAACTGCAATTAAAAAAAAATTTCATCTCAAACCAATCGAAATCTTTAATAATAATAATCTATATCGATTAACGAAGTATCACAATCATTATTGATAACTATAATAATTAAATATGACTAAATCCTGATAATTATCGATAACAAAAAGGTAATATATCATGAATATTGTTATAATTATTGAATATGATATTGTGAGGGTTGATAAATTATAATTGGATTTCCGAAATGTAAACATAATATAATTGAGTTAAATTGGAAAAATAATACAATATATTGGTGAAATATCAATATTTTTTTATAGTACAATGTGATAATAAAATCAGTTATAGAGACCAATCTTCATGTGGGTTTAAAATCAGAAAAGTAGTCGCTTAAATAGTGGTCTATATCTTATAAATATCCTCAGAACGTTACCACATGAAAACAATTTATTGTTGATCTAAAAATATAAATTAAAAAACTGGAGTTTAATTTTTAGGTTCTGGAGCTCAGTGATGATGATTCTGCCTGATGATAGAAGTATAACTGATTTACACTACTATTCTGTGATTTTCAGTGAAGCACTCTTGGGATTTTCATTTCACTCTTTGCATATTTATTATTTTGGGCCCACTCACTTTGCAATATTCAATGTTCCTTTTTTTTTTTAAAGGCTATTTTTTATTTATTAAAAATATTGTACATTTTGGATGGTTTATTTATAATTTAATAAAATGATTCTAAGATATAGTTTTTATGTTCGTCTATTTAATTAAATTGAAGCGTTCATTTTTATACCCTTTCCAAAATGTGGGATTATACTACCGATATTTCATTTTTAAGAATATGAAGGTGTTTGGCAGTTCTGAATGAATATGTTACACAATTTGTTGGGTCCACAAAAGCAATTTAAGTTTTATAAGTTAACTAAAGTTAATCTTAAGTTTTAAGACATTATTTCTATGTACTTTTATATTGTGCTTTTTTTTTTAAATGTAGTTTACATTATTGTCAAACTTTAAATAAACTGATGATTTTCTTAAAAAACACAGAGAGAGAGAAAATTACTGTGCTCCCCTCAGAAAATTTTTTTGCATTACACTGAATGTGTTGATCTGCATTATTGTATAATAATATCTAATATATTTTATCTAATGCAAGTAATAAAAGAAATGATTTTCTAAGATTCCGACCGATTTGAAGCCGTCAAATCTTTATAGAATTTATTCCAATAGTAGCATCATAGTGGTTTTTTTGGAGGGAAAGTCTACTGTAGACCAAATACACTCAGACAAAACCTCGGAAAGACAAAAGAATACGGAATTGATTCTTACCACTTGTTTGTCGATTTTAAGGCAGCTTATGATTGTATCAACAGAAGTAAGCTATTTGAGGCCTATGTGTGAACTTGGAATCCCTCCCAAACATACCAATCTTGTCAAAATGACATTACGAAATGCAGAGTTAAACTCATGTCTGACGTATCAGAAGTATTCTATACCGAGAGAGGTCTCAGACAAGGAGACTGTCTTGCATTTTATTTAATATTGCCCTTGAAAAAGTTGTAAGAGATTCATGGATCAACACTAGAGGCACTATTCTGCAGAGATCTATACAACTACGCTGATGACATTGATATAGTTGGATGAACAATGCAGGATGTGGTGGAGACGTTTACTGCCCTTGAGAAAGCTGCCAAGGATATGGGTCTAGCAGTAAACGAAGAAAAAACAAAATTTATGGTAGTAAACTCTAGAGTACATCAGTCACTGAGAATTGGGGATTATACCTTTGAAGGAGTTATCCAGCTCAAGTATCTGGGTATGCTTGTTACCAACAGAATTGAGATAAGGGTTGAATTAATGAACAGACTTTGGTCTGAGGAACCAATTAAAATCGAAATTATTCTCCATTGGTACGAAAGTAAATCTATACAAAACCTTAATCAGACCAATTATTCTATACAGTAGCGAGACCTGGGCAAATAATAAAACAGAGGAAAATGGACTACTCATTTTTGAAAGAAAAATCCTCCGGTCAATTTTTGGAGCAATTAAGGGAAATAATATATGGAGAAGTTTATATAATCATGAGACATACAATAAATATAGATAACCTAATATTTTGAGGGTTATTAAGGCCCACAGGATCAGATGGCTGGGGCACATTTTTCGAAGTGAAGAGTTGAACCTAGTTAAAAAGCTTACTTTTTCAAGATGGTTGGACAGTGTTGAGAAGGACTTAAAATTTTGGGAATAAACAGGTGGAAAAATCTTGCTCAAAGCCTGGAGGCAGCTAATTGAGAAATCCTTGGCCTGCACTAGGCTGTAATGCTGACGAAGAAGAAAGCAAACTAATATTTTTACAACTATTTAATGTTTTATCCTTGTACGCTTTCTTGCAAAACGAACTAGTTTCTTTCCAATCTTTTTTTCTACAGTGCATTAATCTTATTACGGTAAATAAAATGTATAATGTAAATTTGCAATGCAATTTATAAATATGATATACAGTTAAATAAATATTTGCTTTTTAAGATTATAATAAAACGAAGAGTGTTTCTCTTATAACCATTTGTGCTTGCATCCTGAAATTTGGACAGTAAGCCAAAGACAATTTCAGCCCCCCCCCCAACCCCGATCCAAAAAAATTCTTGAAAAATTTAAATTAAATCGTTTTGAAGAGACATTTAAAAGATGGAATATTCTCATTGGTTTAGAGCCATTGATATAAATAAAAGACAGGCTTTAAAGATGTTTGCTTGCTCATTCACCAGAAAAGTATTTTATTGAAAGTAATTATTTTTGATTCCTTATATCAGATAAACAGGGTAGCGGGCAACTTCACTAGATTAGTAATATTAAATTACTGTTTTAATAATTTCTTATGTTTTTTTTTCTTCTTTCTAATGTTGAATTTTATGTTCATTCATATATAATTAATGCTTATAATTTTTTTTATAAAACTAAATAATTTTAAAATGAAGAGATTAATTAATTAAAAAAAATTATATACCGAAAAGCAAAATTATTGTTGAAATAGTACTTAATCGTACAGAAGAAAAGTAAACAATCAAATTATTGAAGTTACGGAGTGAGTCATCTTTTATTTAATGGTTACAGGAGACAATCATAAAATGCAGGAGTCTTGGCAGGATTGCTAGAACTCAATGCTTCAAGATTAATGAGAATAAATATGTTTGTGACAAAGGAATACATAACAAACATATATTATTTTATTTTTTAACCGTCATTGAAGAGCGAAACCAATTTTATGGGTTTACGACTACTGATGTTCAACTTCTTGTCATTTTGAACCCAATCCAGAAGACAAGGGAACTCCTGGATCAAGTAGTGGGAGAAATTTGCCTTTGTGGAGGACTTTATCAAGCATTTGAGTTACATGGAGAGGGGAACCTCCCACGGTTAGCCTGACGACAAAGGGACTAACCCGTGATCCGTCTACCACTGAGGATACTTCCCGTCAGCACTGTGGTCGGTGCAAGCTGGATGCGCAATGCGCGTCGACCAGTCATCGCTGAGATTTGAACCTGGGTTTACCTCATTGGAAGACGAACGCACCATCTCCTGAGCTGTCACGGCTTGACTTAAACAATTAACACTCATTGAATATTTTATCACTTTTTTATTTTATTTCTTCAACAAATACGGAGAAATTTGAGAATATATAGGTAAACAGGAGATAGTCGTAAAATACAGGAGTCTTCGTTAAAAAAACAGGAGACTTGGCAGGTATGAGTAAATATCTTTAAAACCAACCAACCATAAAAGCAGATCTAAGTTTCACATCAGCTAAACTTTTCACTAAGCCATTCTAAGTTAAGAATATCTTAACTTATTCACAAGCTGTGTTATGAAACTTCTGGTGTGCTTCATATTTTAACGGGGCGTATCTTAAAAACTGCTGTTTTAAAGGAAAGATTTCTCCAATTTAAGTAACATTATATAAGTAATATCAATAGCATTGCTTAATTCTTTCAATTAAAGTAATACAGATGTCTGAAAGTAAAAACAGACCCAAGCTTTATTTTAATTTTTTTAAAATTAAAAATGACTTAAGATTTATTGGTTTAAGAATAAGAATAAAAAAGTAACAAAATATTTTACATACATGCATTAAAGGGAAGAAAAACGAAAGTAAAAAATAAATGTTCACTCTAGTAAAACATTTTTTAAATTATTTGTTAAAAAAACAAAACCTGCTTTTAATACATTGTTAGACTTTCTTTTATTTATTTAAAGTAATAAAGTTGTATTTACAAATGGTCAAATTCTATACTTAATGTAAAAATAAATTTAAGTTTTTATTTATTTATTATTATTTTCTTTTTTTTGAAAAAAATCGACTAGAGATTTTTTTGTTTAAAAATGATTCTGACTATCTAACAAATTACGAAACAAACAAGTATTGAAAGAATTTTAAGAAATATATATATACTTTAAGTACTATTGTTAAATTATAAAAAAGCGTCAAAACGTTTCTTAACTTTTTATTTAATCAAAAAAAAAAAATACTTATTTAAACTAATAGCCAAAATTTTTTTAAAAAAAAAGCCAAATTTGTTTAATTTTTTTCAAAAATAAAAGCAAATTAAATAAATGCAGGCTTTGTTTTAATTTTTTTATAATTAAAAATGACTGAAGATTTATTGGTTTAAAAATAATCAAATTATTGTACTTACGTGCATTAAATAAATTCAAAAAAAACTTTTTATCACAAGTTAAATGCAAAATACCCCGATTGAATTTAATATCGCTTAAATGATAAATAATTTTAAAAAAAACAATAAAGAATCTTTTTTTTATTCATAATTTCTTTTCATCAGTTTATTGAATTCAGAACGAAAATATAAGATAACAGCGATTGCGCAACGATCGCTAAGTAATAGTGGGTCAACTAAAAGTAATTGACAAGAATCGTTAAATCCCGACAGATTTATTTTAAAATATTTCCAATTTTTATTTATGATCAGTGGATGGTCATAGGTTACAAGTATGGGAGTGCAAGTACCCAATTGAGATAACTTGGCATAATGCAAAGAAATTTAAGTATTACAAAGCGCGCAATGAACAGCTTGTTTGCTTAGAACTGTAAGCTAATTAACAGCACTGATGTTATTTTAAAAATAGTTGACTAAACTGAATCGTTACTTTAGGTAGATAGGTACTTTACTTACGTCGCACTAGAGATGCACAATGGGCAGACTGTCTGGGAAACATCTCTGAGGATGATCACAATTTTGATCCTCTGCAGAGGGCTCCCCTGCTTCGGTAGCTCGACGACCTGCACGCCAAGTCGAGCACTTTACGGTAGAACAGTTTAACGAGGACCCATACCGCACACCCTCGGTCCCTACGCAAGCTGATCAAATTGGTCACCCGCCCGTTTACTGACTGCAGTTAGTGATGCTTGACTTCGGTGTTCTACTGGGATCTTGACGATCCGTCCAGTGCGGGACTATAATTAACTTTTAAAAAAACATTTTGCTAAGCCAATGTGAAAATTCCAATTCTTAAATGTCTCTGAATTTAAAAATCCGAAATCGGGTTTCGTAATAAGTTTACAATTGTGCTCATTCAGCTTCTTGTTTTTATTCATATAATCTACCGCATACCTTTAATCCCGTAAAAGACACACACACACAAATTCTTTATTTTATTATGCGTATAGATTAATTTATTTTTTTGA